CTATTTGGTTTTTTTCAAAGAAGATTTTTTTAAGTTTTTGCTTTACACATAAATAAAATCAATGATCCCCCGGGGCAGGGCCAACATTGACCCCAGGGCTCTTATTTGAACAAATTTAATAGACACCCATTAGAACATGTTTCATGCTAAATATCTTAGCTCTAGCTCTTTGGGTTCTTTAAAAGAAGATTTTATAAGTTTTTACTATATGCATATAGAGAAAATCAATGACCCCTTGGGGTGGGGCCAATTTTGACCCAAGGGCTTTTATTTGAACAAACTTGATAGACACTCATTAGAAGATGTTTCATGCTAAATATCTTAGCTCTAGCTCTTTGGGTTATTTAAAAGAAGATTTTATAAGTTTTTATTATATGCATATAGGGAAAATCAATGACCCCCTGGGGCCGGGCCAATTTTGACCCCAGGGCTTTTATTTGAACAAACTTGGTAGACACCCATTAGAAGATGTTTCATGCTAAATATCTTAGCTCTACCTCTTTGGGTTTTTTAAAAGAAGATATTTTAAGTTTTTTCTATCGGTTGCCATGGCAACCAGAGTTCTGCATGGAATTAAATTCTTTGAACAATTTTTAAAGGTGACCACCAAAGGAACATTCCTGTGAAGTTTGAATGAAATTGGCTCAGCGGTTTATGAGGAGATGTCATTTAAAGTAAAAGTTTACGGACGCCGGACGGACGGACGCCGGACGAAAAGCGATCACAAAAGCTCACCCTGTCACTTTGTGACAGGTGAGCTAAAAAACAACAATGTTATAGCATCTTACAGCTTAAATCAAGCAAACTTTAGACAGTTGACCTTGGAGGTCAAGTTCATTTATGAAAGAAGGTGAAGTTTAGTCTGGTCAACTTGAAGGTCTTGTCCCAAGGGTTCTTGTGGCCATGTATGAAGACAATACACTTACAACTAAACAGTTATGCTCAACGTTAGTTTGTGGATGGCATCAGGAACGCCGCCATGACTGTAACAATACCTAACTTTTCTTTCTTTGAAATAAAGTCGACCTGAAATTGGAATACTGCTTTTGCATGTGTTTGAAAGTCTGATTGGACAGTGTTTGGAAGCCTGGCTACAGAGCAAAGCAAGCATGCAATTTGAGACAAAAGACCATGAATAAGCTGTAGCCTAAAGGTCATATTGCAACACACCAGCTTTACTTGTGGAGGATGACCTCTGTTAAACATTTCAGGTACAAACTGAAAACATAAGAAAAGTATAACCAATCTTCTGTGATCTGGTCCCACGTGTAATAAGCCATAAATCGGCATTACGAGGCATGGAATAACTTAACAACTTAACCACAATGCCACATGAAGATTACATATTACAGTGTACTAATATTAATATGGACAGACACATCTATGATTGATACCTGAATTTGTTTTCATAAGTCAGTGAAATAAAAGGTTTAAAAGATAACAACACAGAGTTATAACATAATTCAATATTTTACTCCCAAATAAACTATATAGCAATTAAATAAATGCAAAAAATAAACAATAATAGAAAAGTAAAAAAAATCTCAAATACCAATGGGAAAAGCTTTAAATAAAGAGGATTGAAAGGTCAACCTGTCACTGGGATGAACAATATTGTACAACAATAACTCAACACTCGGTCAAATATTTCTCCTACTTCTTGTTAATAGGACACAATACAGTATATTAAATTTAGACACAATCTATCTGAAAATCTGTTATTAAGCATGAAAACAAACATTCAGAACAATGCAGCATAATTCAAATTAACAATTCAGCATTCAAAACAAAAATGTGTGCCTACACATAATTAATAACTAAAAAAGATTCAGAAATCACTGAAAAAAGGGCAGTTTAACAGCAGACATGCAATGTTTTTTAATTTGTCTATAATCATCCCAAAAAAATTTGATACACAAAAAAATAGTTATTTTTATAGTACCGTTGACAGTGGACTTATTATTATAACAATGAAGTCTCATTATTTCCTTTCATTCCCGGAAGAAAATGGTTTCAAATTTCATATAAAAATTCTTTTTTTTTCCTCCTATAATTCCTTACTTAGAAATTTGCTATCTGCAGACAAATATTTTAATTTCAAATACAATGGACAAATAACATCATATATAATGTCTACAAAAACTAATTGTGGTTTCAAATAAATCACTTTCATGGCAAAGTTTTAACTTTTTTCTCATTAATTTCATGTAACATGGGTAATGAGACTATTAAAACTGTCCAAAAATCACAATTTATTCTTCCATAATTCAAAATATTATTTTTTTGGAACCCTTGAACTGTAGGCAAGACTAGATAAGGAAGCTAGCGAAGTTTGTTAATTTTATAAGACTAATGGTTATCCTTATAACTGGTGGAGAGACGTAACATTTCTTGGAAGAAGTACTTGTATATAAAAACCCCCACCATACTGGCTTAGTATAACACAACTAAATTGTAATGTAGAAAATGACAACTTATTATACAAAATTGACAAAGTGCCAGTAAAATTTCTCTCCCTGTATAGGAAAACAAAAACAAGTAAATTATGTGGTTACGTTTGTAATATCATATATTACCCTGCCATTCAATACTTGAGGCAAAATAAATATTAATAATAATTAATAATAAAACTTTATTATCTTTGGATAAACTTGCTTGAAAATTAAAGGTATCTGAAGGGTATGTAGAAATAAACACTTTCATATCAATATTTTAAATAGAAAAAATAACTTTGTCCCAATGCTAAGATACCTGTTTTATTTTTAACATTGCATATAGTGTTGATGTTGTACATTTTTAGCTGAATCTATTGAATTAAAAAAAACTGCTGATAAAGCAAAAAACATTCAATAATTAGTTAGTGACAAAATGTAACGGCAATTGCAGTTTCTAAGCTATTTACATGATTTAATTGAACATATATATATATAAATATATGCATTTTCAATACAATCTAGCTTCTTTACAACCATCATAAGATCTTGTAAAATTCAATACATTATATCAAAAATGGCCTATCATTTATTATGAATGATAAAAAAATGGCCAATCAAAACAGTGATTTTCTGTACTTAAATATGGTGTAATTGTTTTTTCATACAGATATACATTAAGAAACAATGTAGAAATAATATAAAGCTCGTAAAAGGTATATCATTTTTATACAAGTCTATGATTTTTACACCTTATACATATAAATGATTCTGTATATATTATTATAAGTTTGTTGTGAATGAAATACAAGAAATGAAGATATATAAATATAAATGTACAATGTACCACTGTTCACCTATTCTAGAAGCTAACTATATATCTGCAATGTTTTTTTTTTCTCAAGAAAATTCATCTACATGTACACAGTACAAACCACCTATTAAGCTCAATAGTGAAAGCATCTTATTAGTAGTCCAGGTGTCCCTGGTTCGATCCTTGGGCAAGGCATAATTTTTTATGTGACAGTTGATATCTCAGACATTTAGTATTATGATCATTTGTCTTAACTTTTGATTCAGAAAACATGTCAGATTAGTAGTCGGTCATTTGCAGAGAAAATGGTAGTTACTGGTTAGTTATCCAGGAAAAGGGATAAGTTAGATAGATTGCCAATGCTGAGATATCACCAAAATAATGTTTTAAAATTGGCGTTAAAACCCAAAAAAGAAAACAACAAAAATCTACAGATGCTTGAATATCTACTGGCCAGCCAAAACAATATATATATTACTGCTATCTACTATACAATCACAACTTGTTATGACTAGTATAACATTATATGACATCCTAGCATTCTATCACACTCTTTAACTGTTCACAGACTTTAAGCAAACTTAAACAATAATATCATATCTATTTATAGTAACGACAGTATCAAATTATAATAATATCTGATTTATAAATATATGTATGTGATTATGTAATATACTGGGTCATCAATGCGAGATACAGGGCTGACTGTTGAAAAATTATGTACAACCTGGGAGGGGTGGTAGTGCAGGGGAGGTGAGAAGGGGGGGTCTGGGCTTTTGGTGCAGAAAGGACAAGCAGTGTGTCAGGCTAGGGTGTGATAGTCGAAAAATATTAATTTTTGCTTGCTGTCAAAGACAAACCCATAAAAATTTGTACAATTTTACAATTTTACTATAATATAGGCATATTATGCCTATAATAACTTAAATACAATAAATATATAGTTAATGAATTTTAACAGTTATTATCATGATTTGCTTTTTTTCATATTATACAAAGTGAAATACTTTATCTCAAATTTAAGGAGTCCTGATTTTTAAAAATTTCAACATTTCAAGCATAATCAATACATGAATTAAGTCACCCAGTTTTGTACTCATCAATCTATTTGGTTCTCAAACTTTAAAGTAGATTTTAGATTAGACCAATGGCTGCACTTCTTTTAAAAGGTTGGTTCCAAACTGATAAAAACTGATATAAACTTAGTTTAACTAAATTCAACTATATGAAACAACTTTTATCTTACAAGAAAAAAACAACAACTTTTATCAACATATCAACATAAATTATTAAACAAGTCAATCTAATTCTATACAAACTTAATATGCATTTCATTCAACAGACAAATAAAGCTGATTTTATGTTATTAACAAATTAAACACTTCAGTGATATTTTTACTACAGCCTACAGTAATCAACAATGTTTTAACATACGCACCAAATAATATTGTTTTATAAAACAAGAGGGCCATGATGGCCCTGGATCGCTCACCTGACACAACCGCATCCAAGCAATGTCTTAAACAAGCATCATGACCAAGTTTGATGCGACTGAGTCAAACATGTGACCTCTAGTGTGTTATAAAGATTTTTCCATATTTGGGCAATGTGACCTAATTTTTGACTGGACACGACCCATATTCAAACTTGGCCTAGAAATCATCAAAACAACCTATCTGACCAATTTTCACGACATTTGGATCAAAACTGCAGCCACTAGAGATTTAACAAGACTTTTCTATGTTTAGCTCCCGTGACCTAGTTTTTGACCAGACATGACCAATCTTAGCACTTGACCCAGAAAACATCAAAACAACATTCTTGACAAATTTCCTGAATATTTGAATAAAAACTGCAGCCACTAGAGTGTAAACAAGCTTTTTCTATTTTTAACTCCTGTGACCTAGTTTTTGACCTGAGATGGCCCATCTTCGAACTTGACCTAGAAATCATCAAAACAACCTTCCTGACAAATTTCCAGAATATTTGAATCAATACTGCAGCCACTAGAGTGTTAACAAGCTTTTTCTATGTTTAGCTCCTGTGACCTAGTTTTTGACCGGAGATAACCCATCTTCGAACTCGATCTGTATTTCATTGAGACAAACATTCTGACAAAGTTTGATGATGATCCAATCAAAACTGTGACTGCTAGACTGTTAACAACCCAATTGTTGACGACGCACGACGACTGACGCCGGACATAGCCCCATCACTATACCTCACCTTGACCACTTCGTGGTCAGGTGAGCTAAAAATAGCACAGGGCAAGATAATTAATATACAGAAATGAGTAATATCTTCTATTTACTATACAGAAACTTAACCCTGCAAACACAACATGTGAGCCGAACAAAAATTAAACAACATAATATATATATATATATATATATATATATATATATATATATATATATATATATATATATATATCATAATACCCATTCAAAAAACAATAGTTAATAATAAATAGCATCTACTAATATTACATGGATTTCTACACACTACAATCTATGAGGATACAATTCTGATATCCTTCACATTCATCCCAATAGCTGGGGTTTTGAGTTTTAAGTAGTATCAGTCTGTCCATTTCATATCACAATATTTAAAGCGGTTACTCTCGATTTTATATTGTTTGTTTGGTTTTTCAGCGCACCAACACAAGTGTAGGTAATATGGCGCCAAAACAAGTAAGATGATTTTGGCAAAACATTGGGTGTTACAAACTTCAAAGAAACATAAGGGGTCAAAACCACCTCACCTGCTGGAGCTTAGAGATGCTTAGACCTTAGTTATTTGAACCCATTTAGTGGCTTCTTACAATCAAGCAATGATAAACAGAGGTTGCAATTCTTAAGCCTAAACCATTAAAGGCAACCCCTCAACCACAAGGGGCTCCATTTATATTTTTCAGTTTAAAGTCATAACTCTGCAATTATTTTTTTTTGAATTAAGCAGTTACTACTCCATTCATTCTTGAATCTACAGTTGATATATGACATTAAGACTAATGGTTATTTGTTTCTCCATGCTGATTTAGGAACTATATGGGGTAGTTGACCACTAATGTCGAAACTGTTAATTACTGATTAGTTATCCGGAACATCTGGTTAGGTTGACCTATAGCTGAGACATGACCAAAAATGTGTTCAATTCAGACATACAAACAAGGTAGCTGCTAGAATATTAAGTACATGTATCATCTGTATGATTCTTTAGCATAAGATAGTAACTGTCCAATTTATAAAGTAATAACTGTTCAATGTTCAATATTCTTATGATTAACATGAGTAGTAACTGTTAAAATTATTCTTGCGTTTATCACAGAAACAGTCCATTTTTAGCTCAATAGCTCACTATGAATAATGTGATAGTTCTAAAGCAACTTTCCTTGTTATTATGATGGCTTATGAATGTGTGCATTAAAATGATATAAACTATTGTGCATTTTATACCAAATAGCCATTCAAAATGAATAATGTAAATAAACAAAGCCTCCGAAAATTAAAATTATGTTAAATAAATTAAGGTGCAAATATTTGTTTATATGTGAAAAAAAATAATATCAGTGCTTAAAATTTCAGCTGAAGGTGTATGTTGCAATAAAATAATTATGAAACTATAGAGAATAAATTGAATTTTCTATATAATCTGACAAATAATTTGTCATCCTTTTATAGTTTAATGAATGAATCTTAATTTTTAAGAAATATATGCAACAAGACCTAATACAATAAATGATTTCCAAAGAATATATCTATCTAAATGCCATAACCTCTTAATAAGGTGTAAGTTGAAACTATTTCTATATACTCTACAATCATAACTATTAACATAGGTCAAGGTTGGCCTGGGTTCTATTGCAACTGTCCAGCTTTAGTGGTGAAGGAAGACTCACAAGGTCATGAACAACTGTGGTCAATTTCAATGAGTATAAATAATATCTTTCAAATGCTTCCGATGACATCAAGCGTTGTTAATAAAACATCCATTTCCTTTGTTTCTTCGTATGTTCTCAGCACTTATGTTAGTATATATCTCAAATTCACTATAGGAAACATATAATATATACAGTACAGGTTTAAAACATTACAGCTCTCTAACACACTGTTGTTTTCCTCTTCATTTCTTCAATCATTGCAACAGCTGGGCCATATATGCACAAACTATCAACTTAGCCTGCAAATAAAACAAAAAAAAAACAACTTTTACATCAAAATCATGTTTACAAAATTATACTGTCTCTTACCATAGGTGGGTAATCTCGAGCTAAACTATCTTAACTATCTTAAGATTTATGCAGAAGATGAGAGTAAAATATCTATCCTACTCACTGAGGACTAACACATGTATACATAAACTGATGTAACACAGTATAGAAAACTGCTTTTACATGTATCTTTTACTGTTTAAAAATCGTCCTATGTCTTAGATCCAATTGCTTAAAATTAAGCAAAACTTTCAACCCCTATGAATATTATAAATTCTTTACATTTGTAAAGAATTTTGTAAACACAATGTCTAGTATTCTAAATATCAAAATTTCATGAGGAGATAACTTACTTTAGAATCCTTTGTCTTTATAGTATTTATGGTCAGTACATTTTTTCCATCCATCAATGGGGAAAATGCCAGTACAAAATTACCCTCCTGAAAAATGAATGTAATTTTTTAATACACATAAAACACAACTACTAGTAACTGTTTTACATTGGTTTAAAAGTCTAGCATACGATGTACAATTTGCATCCCTTTTTAATTTAATCAACATTTCCTTATTATATATATTATGACCATAATCACATAAAAAATCACTGATTCTTGATAAATGCGTAAAAATATCCCAACTTTTCCAAAATTCATGCAAAAAAAATTAATACTTTTAAAAAGAAAGAATGTGTTTTTTATTCATGAAATGAAACTGTAACAGTCTGATGTTATAACAAGGAATAACCAAAATGAAAATACAACAAGGACTGTCAGAAGGAGAGTGTGCTCAACTAACCTCAGTGTTTGAAGTAAAGCAAGAGCATGGATAATGTAGAATTTTCTAAGTTCAAAAATGGCTATAATTCTATCAGAATTCAGTTTAGAGTTACGGTTCTTGACAATGACGTTCTATTATGCTCTCAAGTAAGTGTGTGAAGTTTAAGCCCATTCTTTTCACTTGTTTTTTTTTTTAGATACAAACTTGAACGTTAAAACTTAACCAAAGTGTGACGCCAACACCAATACAATAGCTCTCCATATCCTTCAATTAGTTTAGCAAAAACTAAGCAACCAACAACGTTTTCAGACTGCAGAAATGTACAGACTGACTTTGCTTTAGCCTTTACACTGATCGCAAAGGAAACCAATCATTACAAAAAGTATAAAAAGAGATCACAATAGTTGATGACATCCAATCTTTGCAATCAAATGACTGTATACAGGCATAAGCTTTGAATCTTGTTTTTTGATAGTGTTAAAAAGTTCCATTTATCTTTAACAAGTGGATAATACCATTATTCTATGTACCTTACTGCAAAATTCTCTAAAAGTGAACAAACTTAACAGACCTATCATGCTGCCTTTAAACAAAAACATCTTTATTTACCTCTGTAAGACATGACTGATGATGTCCATTTAGTGTAACAGTCCTTACTGCATTCGGTCCATACAGACGGCACATCACTTCTTGGTTAGAAAATGTTGCATGACCAATGAACAACAAATAACCAATACCTGAAATAACATGACAATTTCCTTAACATGATCACAATTATCATATCAAAGGGAGGTCACCATTTATTTTCTCAACAAGTCAATCCTCTCACAGTTGTCTTTTCATCTTAGTTATAATACACTCATTTGTAGCATTTGCATAAAGAATAAGTCGATATTTTAACAAATGCAAATGTTTTAACATGTATCACTTGGAAATGATTTTCAAGGAGATATATCAGGAATCAGAATGTCTAGTCATGAAGAGTAAGACAACGCTTGTTAAACCATTAGCATGCTGGGTGGCTATAGAATCTACACATGAGAACAGTGCAGACCAAGATCTGCTGGCACATCCTTGCTCTATGATCTGCACTGTTTACTATTCAGTCAGTACATTCTTCGAATTTTCCCTATAAATAGAAAATGGTTTTTCCAATTGAAAAATGGACAAGTCCATTTAAGATAATTAGTATGGTAAGTGTTAATTTCAAAAACTCATATTGAACAGCCAACTGTATTGAATATAATCAAACTGTACAGAGAATGTACAGGCTGGCCAGACTTTATACTGTAGGTATAGGCAAGCCACCATCACAGGGAGAATTTGAAGAGCTAAAGTTTTACCTGAATTTGGTGGTCGAAGATTATGCTGGAATGCAATTTCAAACTTTTCACTGTCACAAATGTTAAACAACTGTGGCTTGAACAGTGAAGTCAACACCTTCGCTGTTCCATTTAAAGTTATTGAGACCTGCTTGTTAAACTCTGACATAACCCTGTAAAATATGTAATAAATTGTAATTTATTTCAAACACAAAAAAGAATTTTATGACTTATCCATTTTACTCAATAAATGTAAATTGTATGAACAGAAGAAACTTTTCCTACAAGTTTATTTTTTCACCACAAAAAATTCTATCTTCTTTTCAAAAATGAAAGATTCAACATTGTTCAAGGAAAAATTGCCCCAGTTTCAAACTCTAGTATCTAAGAAAAAAAAACATTCATTTACTATCTATCTTATGTTTTGGTTTGGTTTTAAGTCACAAAAACACTGTCAAGGTCCATGCATTATTTCAGACTGAAATGAGCACAGTATGATACAATTCAACCATGAAAATTATTTATTCTGAAAATATTTATTTCTTCTGTATGTTGAGAGTAAGGAATATAAGGATCTAACACCGGATGCCAATGCAGACTGAGATATCTAGCTATTTATGGCGGTAAAGAGGGTCTGCAAAGTTTTCACTTAACTTTTACCCCAAGAGCTAAAACTTTTTTCTCGTACCTCTGTATGTGACTTGTAAGTATAACTTCTGTATCAGGGTGTCGTAACAATCTTAGATAGTCGAGGGCAGTGTGACCAGCCTCAGATGTTGTATTAAAGTTAGCTCCACATTCCAACAGCAACCAAAGTATCTGATTATGTCCTCTCTTAGCCGCCTAAACATACAAATAATCAAGTTTCATTTTCGTATCAAAATAAAAACAATCAACAAAACAATGACATCATAAAGAAGAAATTAGTATTCAGATATAATTGATATTCCAGTGTCTGATATAATGGTAGTGTTCTGGTAGTTTACCATCCATATTGCGACAGTAAGCCATATTAAATTCAGCAGAGCACAGTTCAGTCACTGCATTGTTCCTGGGCAGACTGATGAACACTTTACCAGTACAAGAGGCCTTCACTTTCTCATGGAACTGATAATACTTCTGTACATGCCAGAGCAGAGGTACTGTGTGAATGACCATAGAAAGGATTTCATGATCAATCATAATTAAAAAGACCTCCATCATCTGAGAATCAAAGCTGGGTGTTCAAGCAGATAAAGTGTTAAAAAGACTTTTTAGTGAGAGTGTCAAGTGACTAAGGTTGCAGACTTTGAACCTCTTGATTCTTATCATTGTGGATTTTAATCATAACAGAAAATTGAAGAAGCTGTTCTGCTAGCTATCAATCCTTGCTCAATGTTTTAAATGGAGGGGCACCTGTGGTTTTCTTCCACTAGTAAAACTGAAAAGTCACCATTTGACTGAACCAAGAGAAGCTTAGCTGTTCCTTTAGGTACTTAAACCCACAAAGGTAAAGATGAAGTGATAAATAGTTTGTTATTTTAACAACTCATGCAAAAAGATTCATTTCATTCAATATATAATTCCTAAACAAAAATAATTTTCAAAATGCTTACCTACAGCAGTAAATGGGCAATATGATTATTTAATACAAACAAGAGGGCCATGATGGCCCTGAAATCGCTCACCTGTATATAGGCCCCCGGGGCGGGGCCAATTTTAACCCAGGGGCTTTAAATTGAACAAACTTGGTAGACACCCATTTGAAGATGTTTCATGATAAATATCTAAGCTCTAGCTCTGTGAAAATTTTTAAGTTTTTACCATACACATATAGTGAAAAACAATGACCCCCTCTGGGCAGGCCAATTTTGACCCCAGGGCTTTTATTTGAACAAACTTGGTAGACACTCACTAGAAGATAATTCATGCTTAATATCTAAACTCTAGCTCTTTGGGTTTTTTAACAGAAGATTTTTTAAGTTTTTACTATATACATATAAGGAAAATCAATGATCCCCGGGGCGGGCCAATTTTAAACCAAGGGCCCTTAATTTAACAAAAATGGTAGACACCCATTAGAAGATGTTTCATGCTAAATATCTTAGCTCTAGCTCTTAAGATTTTTTAAAAGAAGATTTTTTAAGTTTTAACTATATACATAAAAGGAAAAACAATGACCCCCTGGGGCGGGGCCAATTTTGACCCAAGGGCTTATATTTGAACAAACTTGGTAGACACCCATTAGAAGATGTTTCATGCTAAATATCTTAGATCTAGCTCTTTGTGTTCTTTAAAAGAAGATTTTTTAAGGTTTTACTATATGCATATAGGGAAAATCAATGACACCCTGGGGCGGGGCCAATTTTGACCCCAGGGCTTTTATTTGAACAAACTTGGTAGACACTTACTAGAAGATGTTTCATGCCAAATATCTAAGCTCTACCTCTTTGGCTTCTTTAAAAGAAGATTTTTTAAGGTTTTACTATATGCATATAGGGAAAATCAATGACCCCCTTGGGCGGGGCCAATTTTGACCCCAGGGCTTTTATTTGAACAAACTTAATAGACACTCACTAGAAGATGTTTCATGCCAAATATCTAAGCTCTACCTCTTTGGCTTTTTTAAAAGAAGATATTTTAAGTTTTTTCTTTCAGTTGCCATGGCAACCAGAGTTCTGCATGGAATAAAATTCTTTGAACATTTTTTAAAGGTGACCACCAAAGGAACTTCCTGTAAAGTTTGGATGAAATTGGCCCAGTGGTTTAAGAGGAGATGTCATTTAAAGTAAAAGTTTACGGACTACGGCCGGACGCCGGACGAAAAGAGATCACAAAAGCTCACCCTGTCACTTTGTGACAGGTGAGCTAAAAACAAAATTCATAAAGCTACTTGTCAACAATTTTCATGTAATAAATACTTACATATATAAGAGCAGTTTTTCTATCCTTGGATTCTAGGTTAACTTTTGCTCCCAATTCAAGTAGTAAGTTTACTGTGCTTATCTCAGCCTGAAAAATAGTTAATAATTACATTATATTTAAAATATAAAATTACTCAAAAACACAACCTATGTTAAAGTGTATTAATTCAATATTTCAAAAAAAAGGCAGTTTTAGATGCAAGCTATCAGTATGCTAAGAATATGAAAGTATCTTCTGGTATGTAAAAAATGACAAGAAGATAACATAATTTATTTCTTTGTCTTGATCAGAAAAAACTACCTAATGTTTTATAAAAAGTATACTACAGACATAACAACATGGTAACTTTAAACCTCAAATCTTAACTATTTGCAATGTCCTATGAAATTTTTGTAACAAATGCCAGAAAAAATAATATCTGTCATATGTTGCGGTTCAGATCAGAATATCCTTCCCGGGGGGACCCCACCGATTGGAGAGAAGAAGATCCAGATCCAAACATATGTCAAATATTTCTTCTTGCATATTCTGTCATATCATTTCATATTTAAAATGGTTTAAGGTGACAACAGACACTTTCCGTGGTACTCACATAAATGTCATTTAAACAAAGTTATTTTAGTTATAATTGTTATTTATTTAATCTTTGTGCATTACATGTCGTTGATCATCATAAAAAATAACATATTTGACAAAAATGCCTTTGTAAATGATTGATTTTGAATAAAAATCCTAAAATTTTAAATCGTCTTATCAAAGTCATTTTTTATTTTTTTGCCATCAAACTTTTAGAAAATAACCATACTTATATTATCTGGGGAACCGTGTCTCAATTTTTTTCTATCTTTTCTCAAAAAAATATTACGTAACGTCAAACATTTTTTGCGACTTTTTTCACCATACATATTACGTAATTAAAGATAATTAAGTCGCTGATTGAGCAAACAAAAATCCCTGACACGGTTCCCTCCGTAAATGAATTTCCTTTCATGTGCTTTAAACTGCAAGTTAATTGCTTGAATATTTAAAAAGTTATGCCGATTCAAAGTTAGTCCGACCCGCATCAAACGAAGTGTCATAAATCGGCTGTTCTCTCTCGGACCCCTACGTTTCATGCTAAACAATTGCATAATACACAAATATCGCACCAGAGAGGGTCACAAGTTGCGGTAACATACTCTAACAACATTTTATGACCCAGTGACATCTGACCAATTAAAAAGCTGCTGATTAATATCAGTTTATAGCCGAAATTTCTTCAATTCTTAACGTGATTTACTATCCGTCTGGTATCTGTCGCACATATCACGTGACTATCGGTAAAATTTGAGGCACTCAGTGGGGAAATGGAACGCATTTGCGCACCGCTAGCGGGGTATTTAATTGTTTCCTTTTTTGAAGTTTATTATTATGATCATCAGCATTATTATTGTAATTATACCAGTGTCACTCTGCCTGTGTATTTGTGTATGAAATTCCGTTAAAATATAAAATAAAATAACAAAAACCTGAGCTTCTGACAGTCTTTTAAAGTCCATGGTAGATGTACAAATAAGAACGGGATATTATATATTTTTTCCACCAAATTGATAATGCTTCACATATTTTAATAGAAATAAAAGGTATTACTCGATCATTATGATCTGGCCTTCTTGACTTCTATTTTGAATATCATCTATGCACGGCATAGAGATCCAGTTTCTACCGGGATAGACAATAAATTTCATACTTTGTCCCAGATTTATTAGTACTGTGTCCGATTTACTGGCGAACAATTTATTTTCACCGAGAATATATTTTAATGTCTTTTTTTATTCATAGAGAAATAATCATCCTTAAACAATCTAAAATGTTTTAGAAATTTGTCAGGGACACCTTACCACAAGTCATATAGGCGTTCACATAAAAAATGTTGTCTGTTTTTGTTGTTGTTTTACTTGACATTGTTAGAAAACGAGGTTGAATGTAAAGTAAGCCCTTGAATCCGTACAAAAGTCTATCAGCTCAATGTAATATCTATCAGATTAACGGGACAGACAAATTATTTTCACACATTATGGATATTTTAGCAACTACATTTTAATCAACCCTGTGGTTGTGCGATTTGCCGCTATGCTTAATTATTTATGTTTCATACATTATGTTACGTACATTGGCCGACAAATTCTAGATTTATAAAAAAGGCTAAATGTTGAGATATTCATAAAAGATGTCCGGTAGTTGTACGATACATGTATTACGAGAAGTATGGACCAGTATGGACCAGTATGGACCTGTAATTCACGGATATATGGAACTACCGATTTCCCTCATTGATGCCTCAACAGGGGGCGGAGCGTTATCGATAATCGACAGGTTACGCGAATAGCAGATACAAATAGTATAGGTACCGTTTTAAAACGTTTAAAAACACATTTTTTGGACTAACTGCTTCCAAAATTAAATCACGAATGTGTTCAGAAAAGGTTGATAAATCTACTTAGCAAAAAATCTCATTTTAGGTATTTTCCGTTGTCACCTTAAGTCAATAGGATATTTGTCCATGGAAATTAAAATAATTTCATCCATAACTATTTTCTAACAATAGCGTATGAATTTACAACTTTAATAACAATGGCAAAATGACGTCTTTTTTAGCACATAGTTCCTTCTAAAATGATGTCATTTTAATGCGGTTCATTCATAAAATGCGCTAAATTGACGTTGTTGTATGGCAGGCGACTCATCTGGCACCTCTATGCCAGATGAAATTTCTGGCATGGGTAAAACACACAGAAACGCCTGTCTGCCATGCAAGAAAGTTGATTATATCAACCAAGTTTTATTTCGGAAATATAATTTTGAATTTGTTGTAGGATAATGCACGATTCAGATACACAGTTATATAAATTTATTAAGGTTTATAGGCTTGAATGATTTCTTCAAACATTGAATGATATATACATTCTTGTACTACAACACAAAACATGCTGTCAGAAATGAAAAACCTCAATAAAAATATATTGATCAACACTGAGCGGTAAAGTACCATTCATTTGCTTTACTATAAACAATCCTTCCCTTATTCTTTGCATGATCATGAAATAACCACTCAACTGTTCAGTCTGTTTAATAAGGAAATAGTGTGAAATGAGTTAGAATATAAACTCATTCATTTGTTATTAGATTTCTTCAGGCCTTTATCATATAAGCATAAATTTGAGCAATCATGGGATAAAGACTGAAGAATAAGTACTTACACTGTGACAAGCTATCATTAATGGTGACATGCCATTATTCATTTGAGCATTTATGTCTGCACCGTGTTCTATGAGTAAATCTGAAATATCGTCATGTCCTGAAATATCAACAGTAGCAATTTGTCACTGAAAATAAATTACAATATGTCATAAATGATTATGTCTAAAAACAAACATGGTCAATACATGTATCACATGTTATGCTTTTTTGCTAGGCTTAAAGTTCATTTATTTCCATCCAGATCTATCACCCATCTACATTATATCAATATGTCTGAAAAAAAAAACGAAGTTATCTTACAGGTGAACATATCCATAAATAAATATTAACCATATCAAATGTAATGCCTTTTCAGGGTTGTCAATTAAAGTTTTCTGCTGTATCACATACAACAGAGTGTTTTCAAAGTTCCAAATTGCAACTGGGCTTTTCGTGTATTGTGTATTTGTGAATATATAAATGAGTTGAAAAAACAAAGTATTATACATACGAATATGTCCTTACATTAATATCAACATTCTTTTACAAGTTATGTTTTGAAAATATCCAACTTAAAAAAAAGATTGCTATGAAATAAAACTATTTCCTTTCTATAATAAATTATACTTATGAGTCTGAGATGGAACCTCAATATAGATAGGTGATGAAATTTACATAAAATGGCTGCATATTTCAAGGTATGAAAGGGCTATGTAAACATACAATATTCATCCATATACACTGTTAACAGTACATCTATCCGTCAAAGAGACATGGCTGCAGTACTTGTATAAACAATTATAAAACAATGATACATACCATGATGCACTGCCCACATTAGTAACGTTTTGCCATCCATATCTGGACGCTCTAAATCGTACTTGCTTTCTCCAAGTAGCGCTCTTTTTACCAACTTATAGTCACCTGCCATCACAGCATTGGCAAACTCCTCTGTAAAAACCACATGTATAACAGTTTTGAAACAAACTTTGATATCTTAATTGTAACAATTATGCATAACAAATAAATCAAATTTTTGTAAATACAAATCAAATTAAATATTATATTTTTGACAAGCTAAACAAACAACAAAAAATATCTAAGCCTGCTTATTATGTTAGATATTTGTATGAAACCATGGTGTACGATAGAACTTTTAACTCTCAAAATAGAACTCGGTAGACTGTTCATTTTTTTATGGCATAAATCTCCATGAAACATGTTATTTCAAATATACAGTAGGATTTCGGTAAGTTGAAGGGACTTGTGTAAAAACTTCAAACTTGAACAAGAGATTTACACAAAGTGTAACATAAGCAAAGGGTGATAACTTAAACTAAATACAGGATATTGTATAGTAAATATGTTCTGTGTGATTATCATGTGACACCTTATGTCTGAAGTTCTCAAAGAAGCTAATTTTGACTGTTAACTTTCTCAAAGAAACTATTTCTGACTGTTAGTTTTCAAATACAAATAATACCAATCAGGGGATATTTCTCACACATTTATATGCATACAAAGGCTGTTAGACACACAGCTATGTAATTAACACCTGCCATACAAGTTGATCTGCAATCAAGATCGCTGCCAGAAAAGATTTGAAAAAGATCTAAAAGTCTAAGGTGTCAAATTAATGGACTTTGAAAAATTTACGGTAAAAAGTTCACAAATTAATTATTCTTTACGGACCACATAAAGACTTCATAACACTAACAAACTTGACACATAAAAATTTGAGTCAAATATAGGTTTTAATAAAGAATAGATAGTGGGGAAATCTGGACTTTCATATTTCTGTGACACATCAAGAAAATTGACAAATCAAAGTTCCACACATGCAGAAGTTTTACTTTACCTACAAAGTACATCAATCATGGGCACTGCATTTCAAATTAACTCACGAAAAACCAGTAACAAATTCAAATTGCTAAGAATACCACTCTCACTTTCATATAAAATCATCACATAATTGTCATAAGATTAACTTAAAATCAACTTTGAAGTTCAAACTAGACTGTGTCTATATTTTTCATTTTGTCAAAAAGGTTTTGCAACAAATCAATAAAGTATTGAGAAACATACAAAAAGAAGATTACACTGACCATTTGTAACAGTAACTGGTTCTAGAGTAACTTCAGCTTCAAAAAGGTCCCAGTCTATGTCATCTAATGCAATATCTAGATCCTGGTCTGTCGGTATATCTACAATACAAAATCATACAGTGCCAACACATATACTACCAGTCCATATATCAAATGATATCAAATTACACCAGGGATCAAAGATGCAGAGAGATGAATAGACTCCAATAATTAAAACCAATTCATCTGCCTCTTACAATCACACTGGGTTATAAGTGGCTGCAATTGATGCCTCAGCCTCTTAACAACTCCTCAGCCACAAGGGGACTTTTTGTATGTAAGATGAAAACACATTAAAATGCTACAAAAAGGGCTAACTCGGTAACTGCACTTTTCTTTAAACATAGATTCATGTATTAAGTGTGTTTTTCATTCAAAGTCAAACAAGTGCATTAATTTTACAGATTTCTATCAAAATACTGCATATTTTTTGTTGAAAAAATATTCTTATCACCTTAACCAACATATTAATTTTAAGCATGTGCCCCCCACCCCCCCATCCCCGAGTCACAAAGAAAAGCATTTAAAATTTGGTGTTTTATATATCATTTGTTTTACATATTATTTGGTGTTTTATACATCATTTGTACCAGATTTGGTTAAAAAATATTTTCACTAAGTACAAACCTTTAAAGGCCTGGCTTGAAAATGGAGGGACCAGCCTCTCATCCATGCCTTGCCTGAATAATGCTTCACTTTTCTCGCTTGCTGGAGAGTGTATACCACTGTCTAACGTATTCTCCGAGATCTGTCGAGATAACTCTGTATTAGCACTTATTTTAGTTCCTTCACTGTTTCTTACACTGTTTGAACATTCATCTTCATTCACACTTATAGAGCTTGAACATTTATATATGTCTGGTGTATCAGAATTTTGAGATCGATTAAACTGCAAGAGATCACTTGAAGGAAGACTGTCTGAAACTTCACTGTTTTTAGATTTCATAGGTGCAAGCTCTCTGGTTTCAGAGATAGCCTCTTTCTTATTCTTAGCACTGTCATTTCTGGTTTTCTCATTGATATCAGAAGGGAGTGACCCAAATAACCTATTATTATCATTATTGTCTTCATTTATGAGATCAGGATTACTATTATCTATATTTTTATTATGTTCTCCAAGGACATTACTTTCTTTTGGATTTAATTCTGTATCCAGCTTAGGAACTTTAGAACTTTCTGTCGGAAAGTGTGATAAGCTAGTGGATGAAACCTTTCTCTTCTTGTCTTGCGATCCGTGTCCTCGTGGGGAAGAATTTCTTGACTTGTGCTTGTGGTGTTTATGGTGTTTTTTCTTCTTCTTTGATGAAGACTGGTGATTGGAGGATGAAGATTTTTTCCCTACAAAAAAGAACTTTCATTTTAAATCATGGACTAATAGGACTTAGAGCATTGAAGTCTTTAAAAGGTATGTCTATTTTTGATCATGAATAGTTTGAACATATAAGCACTACCTTACTTGATGCAAAATGTGAAAAAGAACTTTTATACAATATACTATATGGAAGAGGAACTTTCAGTGAACAAGAGCAAAACTTTAATAAAGGTATATCATGCAAGTAATTTTAATTGTTTGTGAGATGTTGATATTATCAAAGCAATAAGATACTAGAAAGGTAATATGGGAAAGCTAACACAAGAAGTTTGCTTTGGACTCAAAACACAATATGAGTGAAACATCAAAAATCTAATTTAAGGTTTCCATACCTGTGCTTCTTTCAAAGGGTTGTATATCTGATGTTTTAGGGAGAACCGTGTAACTTGAACAGGTTTCTTGACCTTTGACGGAGCATTTATTTCCCATATCAGCTGTTATTTCAGGCATCTTCTTAATCACAAGGTTTAAAGATGGCTTTATCAGCTCGCTGTCTGAACTGTCTGTCTCAACTGTTATATCTCTTGTATATTCTTTATCAGCATATTTAGGTATACTGTTCATTTCTTGATCAGTATCTGAATCCTTTATAACAATACCAAAGTCATTACAACAAGCACTACTGTCAGGTCCTAACCCAGTCTTCCCATCAGATGTAGGTTTAGATTTCTTAGCTGTGCTTGTAGGCCTTCGTGAAGCACTCCCTGATGGTTTTGGTGTGCTGGTTTTGTCACTATCACTTAAATTTCGTTTCTTCTTCGATTCTGGTTTGCTAGTAGATTCATCAGTGCTGGAGGAGGTCTGGTCTTTGTTTCTAGACTGTAAAGTCATGGACCGCTTCTTCACCTTTGAATACATATCATTGTCAAATACATTAACTCGCCCAGCTTCCAATTCTTTCCAAAATGTGTTCTTGAAGTTAGCAGGGTAGGGTGAGTTACTGTCACTTGAATCAGAACTATCAATACGACCTTCCATTATTGCCTGTTAAAAACATTTTGTAAATTAGTCTAGTAGGATTATTTAATAATTACAAATTTAAAGTACAAAACACAAGTTAAAAAGTCATATATTGTATTGCTAATATTGTATGGCTTTACACAATTTATCTTAAACAAAATCACAAAACTTATTTTATAAGCATTGACTGACCTTCTGCATAGAAATCTATACTTATTTTGACCTTACATATATATTGGCTCAATTTATTTGGTCAATCACACTCTACTTTTTCATCATACGAATATGAACAACGACAAACAACACAAAAATATGTCTAAAGTAAAGACTGACTTGTTTAATTATCAGTATGATCTTAGGGAAGAGGAGGGAGGCATAAAGGAATGCAGTCCTGTAGAGCAAATAGTTATACAACATTAATTTTGGCGCATTTAATTCTACAGGGCAGTTTAGTATTTCCCGTACCAATGAGTATTTTTATCAGGGTGGGAGCTGTTTGCTACTGTATTACTATAAGTGGTTAATTTTGCGATGTGGAAATATATGTGATTTTTTGGTGAATTGAAATTATTCGCAAATAATTCATCACACAAAATTATTTCTTTTCAGGCACACTTTCTTCTATCATTTGAAACACGTTTTCACATCATTTGAAACACGTTTTCACACAGCATCTTACATGAATATGTTTGACTGTTAAGTATTGAGATAAATTTTTCTCATTGCTTGTTTCTTTAAGTTTGGTCTAAACAAATCACAAATGTTTTAATGAAATAATATATGTGTTAATAACATGAAAGGTTATTCATTTAATAAAAGAATGTTTCAAAATATGACAAAGAAATGTGTGATCAGGCCCTTTATCAAACTAACAATGTATATTTCAAACAATTATATAAACAATAAAGGTGTTAAATTACTGAATAGAATGATTACAATAAAGACATATTCTGAACATGTACCTGCTTAATTAAAGATAACACAAAAACAGTCTAAAATTCAAGAAATCATATTTTCGCAAATATTTTCACACGCAAAAAGTCTACTTTTTTACCTTTGCAAGATTTTTGTGACGCAAAAATATCCACTTGTACAGTATACTAAAAGATACTCAAGTGGCCTACAAGTAGTACCTGGGACTATAGTAACCCCAACAGGTAACACTCGATACATTTTTCTGTAAATTTACTATTTCTACCTTTATGTCATATCTATATTAATTTACTAAAATATATTATTTACAGATACAGTGCCAACTCAGCCCTATGTGTCAACTTGGTCATTTATTGAATAACATATTGATATACTATTTCTGTTTTTTGTGACAATGTACTTATCTATCTTTCTGTTCTACCAAACACCTCTAAAGGATGTAGATGTAAACTTATAGTAATGTTGAGAGAATTTGTTGTGTTTAACACACAACGCCATTTCAAGAAATTTTGAACAAAAAAAGATGAACCAAATATCTTAGGTACATGCAGATTGAAAACACCAGTATCAAATACTTTTCATACCTTAATAATACTTAAAATCTTATTAGTATAAACAAATTAGTGTAACAAACATTAATTATTTAAAAATGATGAAAATATAAAACACAATGCATAGACATTAACAGTAATATAAATATGGGCAAAGTTGACCTGTGATGAGTTTGTGCTCTGCTCCTGTGACCTATACTGAACAAGTAGAAAAAATAAGTAAATTAAATGACCATACCTTAGCCAAGTTAGGTACTTAGCATACAGCATAACAGTTTAGTTGAGTATTTACTATTATTGTCCTTACAGATCTATACAGTTTGACTCAGTCACAGAAAAATAGTTTTTGTTAGATGGGTATTGAAAATTGAAATCAGTTCTATGGGAAAAATGAGAACGAGGATCAACCAGGCACAGGCAATGTTCACAGGACGCAGTCCCTGACAAACACCCAGAGATTTTTCAAGTGAAAATTTCAACCAATATCTTAAGATGTGTAATACCTTTGGTCATTTCCAGCGATTTTTTTCCCTATATAAGTGGTACAGAATAACGGACCCATTCACAAAGGGACCATCACAATTTTCAGACTAGGTCCAACGGACCCGTTCACAATTCTGATGAAATTTCACATTTCCGATTAATTAAGCCTTTAATAACATATTAACTGGCGATCCCTTGAACATCGCAGATTGGACTGTAGACTGATAATGTTTTATAAGATATACCATAACCTAGTCGCAATAAATCTCCCAACTTATGTTCAAACCCCACATAGATTAACCAGACATATGCATCCCTTATCCCTACGCCAAATTCAGGTATCCTCTGACTACCATAAGTACTCTTTCTTCCCTCATAGCATTATACTATGGAATAAACTTCCTAGTATTATTGCCACCCTGCCCAACCTGAGTCAGTTCAAACAGGCAGTGGTGGGTTTGCAGTACTAGTCTTACTCCCAGTGTTTTTAAACTATTTTATCTCTTATCATCTTGTTTCACTATTAACATTTTAACCATGACTAGAATACATTTCCAGTCTCACCTTCCAAGCATGTCAATGTTTGGACTTTTCTTTTTTAGCTTTTCTTTTCACCTTTTACTAACAATCCGACGTGCACTAAATTCCTGCCTTTAACACTCGTAAGAGGGGTTGGCAGTATCCAGAGATAGAGATAGATAGATATTTCCTCTCTTCGCATAGTGATGCTAAAGTTTTGCCTGTTGTGTTTATCTTAAAATGCATAAGCCGACCATTATTTCCGGTGCAATCGCCCTTTAAATTTTTATACTGTTTAAATCCGAAACTTTTAGGGCCCGGAATCAATACCGAAACAAGCGTCTGGTAATTTCTGTAAATATCACTTAAAATGTCTCGTAACAGTAAATACTACATTAAAAAAATTATATGTGCTTACTGCTTAAATAGATTTTCACAATTTTAAGTAAAAAATTCACAATTTGTTCAGAAACGATGCTTTTTTCACAATTTTATGGTACCGGACCCATTCACAATTCAGGGAAAAAAATCGCTGTTTTCCAATATGTTCCATTATCCTAAGTGTAAGTCTTACTTAACCTAAAACTTATGTGCTATAGAAACATATACGCTGAGTTTATATAGGGCCCAAGATCACTGAAAGGCCAATATAGTTATAGGGTGGAGCTGACCTTGATTGAGATTCTTTCAGTTATTGTATGCTTATAACTGAAATCAGCAAAAAGTAACATAAACAGCAAAGACAATAAGTCTTATGTCTAAGAAATACTACTGTTGATTTAAATATTACTATTAGATGTATGAGCTTAATTACCTTAATTGATATTGACCTTTTCGAAAACCTAGCTAAACACCGTTTTCCGGTACGTTACCGTTTTAGCTCTGGGGAATTACACCAAATGAGGTACATAACACAGTTACGTGATATTTCTATTTTTCTAATATTATTTAAGCGTTTAAGGTGATAAAATTGATGTTTTTGAAAATTATCAATATTCCTTTAATATCTATTGCAAATAATTCAAAAAAAATAAATTATTTATAATGAAAATCAATAAAATTCAAACAGACGTAGTGGAATCCTCCATAATAAATAAAGTTATTTTCTGCGTAAACTTGTGTATTTACTTTATTTTTTGTATGGAATTATTCATACAATGATATTTAATTATTTTCTTATAAAGAAATAACTGTTTTATTTCAATTTAATTTTAAAAAAGGCCGAAAACATCGAGTTCGCTATTACACTCCATTAGGTGAATTCCCCAGAGCTATGTACAGAAAGTACCGGAAAACGGCGTTTAGCTAGGTTTTCGAATTCGTGAATTGTTCAAGTTGGACAAGTCTGAGAAAAATTATAACAAAGGAAAGTCTTCTTTGCTGCACATAAGAAAATATTGAAATAAACGGCGATCTAGAAGTACCTGCTTATTTTTCCTCTCCTCTGTTCTTCGTTTTGCTATTTCTTGTTGTTTCGCATCATACTCTTCAATCAGGTCTTGGCAACATTCCAAATTTTCTCTTGGTTCCCATGTATCTTCTTCTGCGCTATAACCTTTCCATCGAACTTTGTACAGAACAGATCCCTGATACAAAATACAATTATCATGAATGAATTATCAATCAGAGTTCAGACACACGAGAAAATTAGATGTAATAATATTTCGACTACTTTGATTCGAACATACATGGGGGCGAAACAGCCAAATTCATAAATCACTTCATTTTACAACCAAGCTGCAAATAATCGATTTAAATAATATTATTAAGGGTTTTTGATGTAGGTCTGAGATATGAACATCAAAACATCTATACTTTCATTCAATATAATAAAGAAACCGTGGCCTTTCTTTGTTTATATTTACGATCCAGGATTGGCCGACTTTTAGGTTTTTGACCTACATTTCCCTGCAAAAGGAATTCAGAGAATTTCCTAAATTACTGGTACGAAAAGGCTTACTTTTACTTTAGATTTCCCAATAATCTTTTCAACTTCAAATAACTCCTCTTCCTCGCCACTAGAATCCATTCCCTGCTCTGATTTATTCACCTTTTTCCTACTATTACCAGTCTCGTCCCCCCTTTCCGCCATGTCGACAAGTGCAAGTAAAACTGGGTCATGCGCTCTGGTATGGACAAGTCCATATATCATAATAGGTGTTATTGACGTTTCTACAGGTGGTACGTCTTATTCTAATAAATAAATTTCACGATGGATTATTGGGTTTTATGTGTAAATGATATATTAACAATACGTCTAACCATAAAACAACATTTACTTGAATTTGTACATTTATATTGATATTTTTGTGAGTTAAATACTATCACTCCCAACCCTTGATATTGTGCTAAAATGGACTGTTCCATAGTAATGTATTTCTAAATTTAGCAACGTTTATTGCGAGGGATAGTAATTGCTGCTGACCATTTTCACGGTGAACTCAGGATTGTAAGATGTCGTAAGTTATTCTTTGCTTTTCATTGAAAATTATTCGGTTTAGCATCATGTACAGGTGTTTTTTCGCACTTGCAGTTACCTATCCCTTTAAATAGGTCTTAAACCACTAAATTTAACTAAAAAAAACCGCGACAAACTGCCATTATAGTATAAATATATATACCGTGTTTGACCTAAGGCAATTTGAAGTAATTATTATAATGCATGACACGTGGCCTGCTCAGTGGTCTGTTTATAACTTTTTTTCATGTTGAAATGTGGCAAAATGTAAATAATAACATACAGCACCTTATTATTTTTACCAATTCCCATCTTATGTTCCCAATGATTTTGCAAGCCTTTTACTGATATTACATCTATAGATAGATATACAGATGTCTATCATTAATTTAACAGGGGCCACTGTCGTTTACATAATGCACAATAAGTAGGGCTAACCTGCATAGACGATCTTCATGTTTATTCATGTTTATTTTTACAGTAAAATTAATATGACAGTTATTTTCATCGAGTGGTATGAAATTAAATATTCCACGAGGGTTGCTGTAGCGATGAGTGAAATTATATAAGAATGTTCATACCACGAGATAGTTTTTGATTTTTGAATTATTTTTTATTTTGAATTACGTAAAACAGTAAAATTCAAAAGTCTGTAACGTGATCAATTGGTTGCACGATTTAATTTTAAAAATTGTGTTTATTTCTTTCACCAGGTTAATTAATAAGAAAGAGTTACAAGAACAGTTTTTGTTAGAGAACAGGTATGGCTTAAAAAGTAGATCAGACCAAGAAATGCCATGGCCGCGCAATACAATACTTCTCTATTGCTTGAAGACTTACGAGGCACCAAATTCTGCAGCTGTACAAGGTAAACCACGACCAGGATGCTCTTGCAAAACTGAAAATTTGCCAGTCTGGTATAGATTAGATAATGAGTCAAGGAACTACAAGCTCGAGAACGGAGAAACGAAAGAAGTAGATGCTGTACATGCCGAGGTAAAAATGGCGAAGCAAGTTATAGCTGAGTTGGGCAAGATGGATCCAAAACCTAGAAAAATAGATGTAGCGTTAGTAGGAAGTTATTCCCCTTGCAACGATTGTGCTGATGTTCTGATTGACTTGAAGAAATATGTGCAAGATGGTATGAATATTATTTGTAATATTAAAGTGAAGTTTTCTAGCTTTTATAATTGTCACCTTTCCGACAAAAGCAACAATTTACCAGGATTATGTAAACTCCTGAAGAATTCAATATCTTTGGAGACATTTAGTGGCGCGGACGACTGGAATTGGTTTCTTAAAAGCGTCTTGAAAATGTCTGTTGACATTGATTCGTTGATTGGCTTGTCTGATGGACGAAAGGAACGCGAGGCAGTTGACGATGAAATACTGCACGGCATAAAGTTTCATATGGAGACAGACGGCCGACCCATGAGTGTACCATTTGGCATTGGTAATTCGGCTACCTTGAAAGACGCACAGTTTGCAGTGAAAGACACCAAACGTAACATTGCTGGAGCAGTTAATGCAGCTGCCAATCGACTTAAGAACTTGGATATTGATATTAAAACTAATAGTAAGATAGTATTCTTTAATAGTTAAGCACAATAATCAAATCAATCAAATTTATAATTCTCTATTGCAAAAATATTAGGCTTTTGTTCCCGAATAAGCAATTTCAGTACTTTCCCATGTTAAAGAGATGTTCTGCTTATCGATGTTTTTGAATTGTAAGACCATTTATTTGATTACATTACGGTCTTAAATCTCTTTATGGGGACGCTAGGGCTGGCAGAGTGCTTCGAATCACTTGCCCCTAACCACTGTTGTTCCGAATTGGGTTCTTTCATGTGACGAAGCTATCCATGCAGCTAGCTTACGAAATGTCTGTGGTTCTACTCAGGTGCCGGCTCTAACCTAAAATAATGCATGACTGATCAACTGGATGACCTGAGGTCCTCCTTCACCAGTAAACGTTTGACAGTCTTCGAATGACATTGAATGTCGGTCACGTGTGACTTAAAAAATCTAACAAAATGAACAAACTTTTCCTTCAGTTGAAGAGTATAGAGATGGCTTTCTATACTAGCTTGATAATATCGTTTGAACTGTACTTGTAGGGTAAATTAGGGTATCATATAGGATAACCTTATTAGAAGCAGAGGGCATTTATTGAATGTTAATATGTTATATTTTGTTAAATGTTCGCACAAAAAGGATTGTTTTGATCTCCATTAATCATAGTTTCATGTTGATATATCATTTTTATTCGCCCGTTTGAAAAACGGGACGTATTATGGGAACGCCCCTGCAGGCGGGCGGGCGGTCGGGCGGGCGGCGTCCAATTTTGTCCGGAGCATATCTCCTACATGTATGGAGGGATTTTAATGAAACTTCATAGAAATGTTCACAACTATGAGGAGCAGTGTCGCGCACATGAACCAGGTCTCTAGGTCAAAGGTCAAGGTCACACTTAGAACTCATTGAAAAATGCTTGTCCGGAGCAAAACTTCCACATGTATAGAGGGATTTCAATATTACTTGGCACAAATGTTCACCATTGTGAGGCGGAGTGTCGCGCGCAAGATTCAGGTCCTTGCGGCCAAGGTCAAGGTCACACATAGAGGTCAAATTTCAGATAAAAATATGAAGATGTGTATATGGACCATTTAGTCATCATTTATTGAGGGATTGTAACACAAATGGTCATTATCAAGACTATGGCTGTGATACATATAATTTAGGTCAATATATACAAGGTCAAGGTCACTAAAGATGATGAAATATCCAGATTTTGTCCGGAGCATATCTCCTACACGCATGGAGGGATTTTAATGAAATTTCATAGAAATGTTCACCATTATGAGAAGCCATGTCACGCACATGAACTAGGTCTCTAGGTCAAAGGTCAAGGTCACACTTAGAGCTCATTGAAAAACGCTTGTCCGGAGCAAAACTTCCACATGCATAGAGGGATTTCAATATAACTTGGCACAAATGTTCACTATTGTGAGGCGGAGTGTGGCGCACAAAATTCAGGTCCCTGCAGCCAAGGTCAAGGTCACACATAAACGTCAAAGTTTAGATAAAAATATGAAGATGTGTATAGGGACGATTTAATCATCATTTATTGAGGGATTATAACACAAATGGTCATAATCATGACTACGGCTGTGACACATGTACTTTAGGTCAATATATGCAAGGTCAAGGTCACTAAAGATGGTGAAATATCCAGATTTTGTCTGGAGCATATCTCCTACATGTATGGAAGAATTTTTATAATACTTTATGGAAATGTTCACCACCATGATATGTATTGCTCCATGCATGATCCAGGTCTCCAGGTCAAAGGTCAAGGTCACACTTAGAGCTCATTGAAAAACGCTTGTCCGGAGCAAAACTTCTACATTCATAGGGGGATTTCAATATAACTTGGCACAAATGTTCACCATTGTGAGGCTGAGTGTCGCACGCAAAATTCAGATCCCTGCGACCAAAGTCAAGGTTACACATAGAGGTCAAAGTTCAGATAAAAATTTGAAGATGTGTATAGGGACCATTTAGTCATCATTTATTGATGGATTGTAGCACAAATGGTAACTATCATGACTACAGGTGTGACACATTTAATTTAGGTTAATATTTGCAAGGTCAAGGTCACTGGAAATGATTAAATATCCAGATGTTGTCCGGAGCATATTTTCTACATGCATGGAGGACTTTTAATGTTACTTTATAGAATTGTTCACCACCATGAGACGTAGTGCCCTGCACATGAACCAAGTCTCTAGGTCAAAGGTGAAGGTCACAGTTAGAGCTTATAGAAAAACGCTTGTCTGGAGCAAAACTTCTACATGCATAGAGGGATTTCAATATAATTTGGCACAAATGTTCATCATTGTGAGGCTGAGTGCCGTGCATAAAATCCAGGTCCCTGCGACCAAGGTCAAGGTCACACATCCTGTGCATATCTTCCCTACTGATTTGTTTTAAGGTTCATTTAACAATACAGTGCCAAGAATAAAAACTTGCTTGCTAGATAACACTTATCCATAATGCCCCCATCTCCATCTAAAGCTTTCATAAACGGGCGTATTTTGTGACTATGGCACCCTTGTTTTCCTTATCTTTCTGATGTACAATTATAGAAAAAGCTCATGTGGTTATGACTTTCTTTGTTTCAAATTTCAATTTGTTATTGGGCCAAAACTTAACTTAACGTGTGTCATGTTCATATTAATTAACATTTACTTAATACATGTAATTGCATATTGGTAACTTCCTTGATATCACAATTTCAGATGAAAATGCGTCTGAGGACGCCAGTATATCTATTTGTATTCCATCAGTATATGCCACTCTTGAACAACTATCAAAACCAGGTTTCATACGAAGAGCAACGAAGAGAGGTAATAACGAGAGTAATGAACAACAACAACAAGATAAGACTCAGAGGGACAATGGTCATGAGGAAAACTACAGACAAAGGAGAGGTAATCGGGGGAATGGTAACAGGTATTCTGGAAATCGACAAAGACGAGCACATGGGTACAGGGGACAAGAGCAGATAGTGGACAATTATGATGAAGTAGATAACGGTATAGTAATTATTGTATATATAGTAAATTATTCAATGATATGTTTTGTTTTATTTTTTAGCTCGACTATTCGAAGAATATGAGAGCTATTGTAGTCGCGTCGGCGTCTGCGTTGGTTAAAGTTTTTTGTAAAGTCAAATATATCACTTATTGCTTGAGATAATCAATTGAAACTTACAATACTTATTTTTATAGTAACGAGGTACATCAGATTGACAAGTTGGATAACTCTGCCTACAATATTGACAGAATTATGCCCCTTTTTAACTAAGAAATTTTGGTTAAAGTTTTTTGTAAAGTCATATATCTCAATTATTGCTTGAGATATTCAATTGAAACTTACAATACTTATTAATAGTAACAATGTACATCAGATTGACAAGTTGGATGACTCTGCCTAAAATATTTACAGAATTAAGCCCTTTTTTAACTTAGAAATTTTGGTTAAAGTTTTTGGTAAAGTCAAACATCTCAATTATTGTTTGAAATATTCAATTGAAACTTACAATACATATTTATAGTAACAATGTTCATCAGATTGACAAGTTGGATAACTCTGCCTACAATATTTATAGAATTAAGCCCCTTTTTAACTTAGGAATTTTTGTTAAAGTTTTTTTGTAAAGTCAAATATCTCAAATATTGCTTGAGATATTCAATTGTAATTTACAATACTTTTTTATAGTAACACTGTACATCAGTTTGCAAAATTGCATAACTCTGCCTGCAATATTTGCAGAATAATTTGCCCCTTTGAAACTTAGAAATTTTGGTTAAAGGTCTTCAAAGATATTTACTTGAAACTTTACACATGTACTTAGGGTCATAATTGGAGGGTCATAATTGTATAATGTCACTGACCAAGTTCCATAACTTTATCTTGCATTTAGGCTGATTCATCTCCCTTTTTCTACAAAGTCTCTTGGTTAATGTTTACATGCAAGTTTTACATATCTCAATATCAATTAAAGATATTTATTTAAAACTTCACATATACATTAAGGGTCATAATTGTAGGTCACTGACCAAGATCCATAATTCTACCTTGCATTTAGGCTGATTTTTCTCCCCTTTTTCAACTTAGAAATTCATTGTAAAGTTTTGCTTGTGAGCTGTTATCTCCATATCTACCGAAAAGTTTGTGCCTTTTTTGGGACAATTTTATGCATTCATAATAATAAAGCAGTGATTTACTTGATAAAACATTTTAATAACGCGCCTTTGTACCTTTTCAGTCAATTTTATGTATTCATAGGTAATTAGCATTATTATACTCAATAAAACATCCTTGTGACAACTTTTTCGAATAGTCGAGCCAATACTGTCCTCCGACAGTTCTTGATAAATTAAGCAAATGTGTATTGCAGTTTCCCTTTTTGATAAATTTTGTTTTAACATTATATAAATAATTAATATGTTTGTGAGTAACAGTAAAAATATCATCCGGTCTCACGAGGAAAATACTGTTACCCGAGGCTTTAGCCCCAACAGATTGGGACACATTGACATTTTCTATAGGATTTTAGTCTTCAGGTTTTTACAGTAAAAAAGTTTAGTCACATGCCATGATTGTAAGAATAACTCCCATTTGGTTACGGGTATTGACATATAATTCCCGATAGGCTAGGCAAATTATATTTTAGTTTACGAAGAAAAGCGTAATTCTTTTCATTACCAAATAACTTAACTCTTTTTATTACCAGCGTTTATTTAATTAATTAAACCATAAATGATTCATATTGAAATAGCAGAGAGGAATTTCTTTCTCTTTTTGCAGGACAATTTGTGGGTTACCAACAAAATTACCGGCACCAAGGTAGATCAAACAGACATCACCCTATGTGCTATGATCAAGACTTTGGTTATTGACTAAGAAATATAGTCATTTAGTGAACATGAATTCAACTTGTGTCATATCAAGAGATCAAAGGGAAACATAGTGGATAATTTAGATTGTTGATTACACGCATAGAAATGAGGAGAGACTTCTTTTCTGTCATTACTTTTTAATGCATATACAATATAAATGAAAGAAATTAATATTGCCTAATATGTGTCCGTGCCTTGCTGAAAGAGAAAACGTATTATTCGATGTCCTTCACAGGTTATCTTTATTGTTTGTGTTGGTTTTTTTTGTTACGGGGTCCAGAGAATGGTCACATATCAGTATTATGTAGTATTATTTGTTGCTTTAATTTTGTTTTATTATTCACTTGATTAATATTTGTTATCGTTTAGTATTATTGTTGGTGTAATGTTTCTTTATGTATGTAAATAAATTTCAGTTATTTTGCAGTAAACTGTTGTTTTAATAGTCTAATCAAGAAATCTTTAATAGACATGACATTTGCGCTATACATCGGTCATTATTTAGGTACATTAAGTTTTTATAAAGTTCAAAAGTACCTCTTGGACTAGTTTTCTTCCGCTCGAGGTAACAACAAGTTTGACCTATTAATACCGTATAAATGATTCTGCATATCGTGAATAATTAACCTTTACAATATGTTAATATAAAATAGTGAATCCTATTACATGTATGTTCCCGGTCTTCTGTGAAGTTGTAAAATTTGAACATTTTAACAACCGTTTTTTTTTCAGTCAGCGAATATTGAAAACTAAATAGGTTTTGATAAAACCTAGATATTTCTTGCCGGCGTTAACTTGTAAAAACTTAGACAACATCTCATATAACAAATGACAAGATTATTATCAACAAATCGGTTACGTATATTTAGAAAACAAGCCATGTAACGTTTATCCATAGAGTAGTGTACTTTAAGAATAATAAAATTAAAACGATGAGTTTTTGTTTTTTTGACATTGAAGTTGTTCACAATCAGGTTGTTATATTCAGATACATGTTTTGTTGTTTTCTTGCGTCATTATTTCAGTTATATACTGGCGAGTGATATCTTAACGAGAATTTTGCGCCAGCTGTACTTTCTTTCTACATTAGTTAATAGTCTCCACGGGTCGTCCGTGACCGAGTGGTGAAGGTCTGAGATCGAATGCCGACAGAGACTTGGGATTCTTTCATTTGAGGAAGCTATCCAGCTAGCTTGCGGAACGTTGGTGGTTGTACTCGGGTGCCCGTTCGTGAAATAATTCACGGAAAGGCACCTGAGGTTTTCCTTCACCAGTAAAGCTGGAAAGTCGCCATATGACCTATACTGATTCGGTGCGATTTAAAACCCAACAAAAAGAAATGTTCTCCAATTTTATACATGTACATAAAAAATGCGATGAGTAACAACCTTATCGTCCACAAAATTTTTACTCGAAACAAATTAAGCTTGTACGTCTTAAAAATCTGTGTTCCCCTGGGCTAGTGCGTTTATCAAAACTGCTGATGTATATACATGAACTATAAATGTACATAGGTTGAAATGCAGCACCTATTTTACCGGAAACATGCATTAAATAAAAAAGCAAATACTAGGCCAACGCCCTTATATTGCACGTTATAATAGAAATATTCTGATGGAAACTTTAGTTGGAAATAAGCAATGAACTACAATTACTGCTTTTCGTACACAGAATCTGAAATTTGACGAGAAGGACCGATCAGTTACGATTGGTTTCAGTGTTATCTTCCAATTTGTCAGAATAAGCTGATGTATTGATTAGTGTTCATAAAAGAAAGTAGAGCAGTATAGCCACAATGATGATTATCGCTATAGGATAAACACCAACACTGTTGTTAGGTTCCTGTCCACCACACTGCCTCGTTTTCAAGGGTTTATATGTCCTGTCCCACTGTGTTAATATTGCTTCTCTAGCACCTTGCCATGCACCTGGTCCAGTTAGACGAAATTGATATGGAGTGCATGGTCCGAAAAAACACTTGATAGCAAGTTTTGGGTCTTTCAAAAACATTTGCTCTGTAAAACAAGAAGGTAACACATAATTATTTTCTAATTTACCATGATTTGCCATCATCAGAATAAAAGGAATTTTAAACGAAAATCAGAGCAGTTAAACAATTAAGATTACCAATTAATACGCTAATTTTAATTGTAAAAACAATAATACAGCAATCGCTTACTTAAATTTGGTTTACAGCCTATCATAGTCGCAAGCTCGTCTGAATACGGTATATAATCGACTTGTATGGTATGCCGCTTTGAGTCCTTGTACCTTCTTTCCATTGCCCTGCGTTTATCCCTTATGTCTATCCACATTTTAGCCTTATCTGGTAACTTAACCAAGCCCTAAAATACAGTTACATTATTATATTGAGTCACAGAGAAGATCAACATGTGTTGGAAGTAAGCATCCTAACATATTTTATCATCTTTAATTTTTTAGCTTTAATTTGTGAGTGTCCAGAACATTAGATTGTTGCTTTAAGAAAATCGACAATAGAATAGATTTTAAATTAAATGTTCAACGAAAAGGATATGCGATCCACTCGTAGTACTTGCTTTGAATGTGTGGTCATTTTGCACGAAACACGAAATGTAGGACGCCTATGTACGTTTTATAGTGTCGTTGATGTATCGAAAACTAGTATCCTTAAAAATGTAATTATTTATTTAACATTAATATCCAATCCTACCTTCTTGGGTGGTGAACTAGTATTCGTTTACCTTGAAAACGCGTGAAGCGAGTCGGCACTGCAATTCACATATAGGCATTATCGCACCTAGCGGTTGGAAACACCCAATTATTGCAAGTGTTTGCTTTCCGACAGAAGGTGGAAACATGAACTTATACAGATTTACTTTGTTATCTTCTACTGTCAACGCCTTTTCATCAATGAATGGAAAACCGAATATATACCCTGTCGCCAATACCACTGCATCGATGTTATCGACTTTTGTGCCATCAACAAATACTGCGCCAGTCTCTGCAAACTCTTTTACATTATCTTTGATGATCACGCCTCCCGCTATAATTCTGTTTGGGAGTTCATCGTTCACTGTTGGGTGCGCGGACATAGGACCGAATTTTGGCTGTAGACCGTACTTCTTATGATCTATTTTACTGTTCAGTCGATTCATAGTAATGGATAATGCAAGGGATGGAAACTTTCTTAACACTTCAATTCTATATCGCCTATTACGAGTCATATCTCCTGGATCCCCTTTATGCTCTACTCGACTGAAAAGCCAGGCACCAGATCGTGTACTCAAATATACCTTATAAATGATAAAGAACTAATATAAGTTAAATTTACAGAAACACACTATAATAATACCGGTATGCTAATAAACTTATTTTAATAAAGATTTTATATGGAAAAATTACTTTTGTGATAAATTGCTTAATACGATAAAGGGAATATACATTTACTGAAAGGCACGTTCATTTGAAAGTTTAAATTTTCTGCTAGATTAAGATGTTTTGGTTGCAGTCCTCTATACTACCATTATTCCCGCCCTACCTGAGAAGATATACGACTAAGCTCTGTGGCTACATCACCACCAGAGTTTCCAATACCAATGATCAAAACTCTCTTGTCTTCGTAACCATGATAATCTTTGTAATCATGCGTGTGCGTTACGGTGCCTTTGAATTTATCTAACCCAGGGAAATCTGGTACGTTTTTGTTAGCATGATGACCAGTGCATACAAGCACTCCGTCAAATGTATGTGTCTCAACATGTCTGGTTTCATTTTGCCTGGTTACAACTTCCCATGTGCCATCAGTATCAAATTTACTGGTCGGTTTAATCGTTACAACCTGAAATCAAATAAAGATGTGTACGGTCTGATAATTATTATATGACATGAAATAAGAGTTGTTTCCAATTTATACTTTTCTTTTTTTTCTTTTTGCCAAGTCGTATTTGGAAGCATCGGTAGTTCACATTCACTGTTCAGGGTCATTCACCTTTGAGGTGTTAACCCGATTACGTCTCGATATGTACACTGTGTAACACTGGGTACCACTATGTCCGTATGCTTCGGTTGTAAACGTGTACAAAATATCTGAATAACGACTAAAACATAATATATTCGTTGTATGCGAAAAAAAAAAAAAACACATTTTACTGTTTTTTTAATTGAGTTGCATGATTCACTTTGTCAAATATAATATCTGTTAAGTGTTTATCATGAGAGAAAAAAATGAAAATAAAAATACCTCGGTGTTTAAGTTTATGTACTTTCTCAGTCCGAACTTGTCCGCGTACATATGGAAATATCTATCGACATACTTATTGTGCATGTAGATCGGAAACTCTGCCGGGATAGGAAAATCACTGTAACACATCATCTCCTTTGATGTATTAATCACAGTAGATTTCATCACACATGCCTGACCTTCCTCCACATCTTCTGTGTAATGCCATAATCCACTTATATAGTTACCCCTCTCAAAACAAACAGGTTCAAGTCCCTCGTCCAGACAGCATTTAATTGCCGTGAGACCACTGCACCCGGCTCCAATTACTGCTATACGCTTCATACCCTAAACATTTACGATCAAGGCCGTCGAGCGTTTAAATGTATTTAAACAGGCAGGGTCGATTTATTAACTAGAACGTTTCACTGTCGTATCTTTTTTTTTACCTTTTAACGTGAACATAATACTACATAATATTACTCCGTTCTTATTATTTCTCGTTGGTAGATTATCTATATCAGTAACGGAGGAATGTGAAAATAACGCACGATTCGCAAAATTGTGCAATAAATGGCGGATACCTGACAGGATTTCCAACACGGCAAATGGACTGGCCAATATATTTATTATTTAACCAAACCGGAAAAAAAGAAATAGCCGAGACATTACTTTTATCCCTCATCTAGATTATTTCCACGACATTGCTTACATTCAAAATTATTACTTGACCACCGTTTTGAGCGTGACGTTTTTTTTTAACGACTCTTACAAGTACAACAATGCATATTATACAGTATAATTTCGATTTTCAGTAGGTAAGTGACATTTACTAAATGTCTGGTGACATAGAAAATTGAAAAAAAAAACGTATGAAATGTGATTTAAGCCATTTCTATGAGGTAACACCGATGTACAATTATAGAGCTTCCCGGTAACGCCGGAAACATATATGGTTCCACAGATTGAACGCCATTTATCAGCGAATATAATCAAGTTATTTGCGACCTAGTCAATGTATTTTCTTCGTAACTCATTAAGAATTAGAGATTGTCAAACTTTCAACATTTTGATGGCATATTGTAACTTACAAATACAATTTGATAATTGTTTCCTGAAATAAATTATTATTTGCAGACATGTTGCTCACGACTGGTCTTGTTAGAAAATAAGAACAATAAAAAAATTTTGCAAATAAGTTAATATAAAATAAGAGAAGTGTCTATATATTTTATTCCTGAAATAATGCACCAGTAAAGTTTGCAAATCTCCTTATATTATGTCCTTTATTGTGTTGGCGTGATGTGAAACCCAACCATAACAAATATTTGGCTGTAGAAATTTCCCTGGTGAACTTCTGTGAAAATGGATTTATTTTATATAATTCATTTTTTTCTCATATATAAGTGTATAAGTTTTATTCAAAAGATATTTTACTTAGAAACTATAATGCCTAAAACTTATAAATATCATAACCTAAAGTTAAAATTAACTAAAGTTAAATAAATCTTAACCCTTGGGGTAAAGATTAACCCCACTCTTGGGGTTTCATATTGCAAAATGTATATGTTAACTTGTATTGGAAAAAAAACATATGAATCTTAGAGCTTATGCTAAGCATAACAATAGACGTTTACAAAACTAACAGGACTAATGACCCTAAAAGAGGCCATCAGTAGAGAGCCAGGTCCCATCCATACAAGGTGACTATTTGCTTACTCAGGTAGCTCATTTGTACAAATATTTAAAATATCTAATACTAATCTCTCAGACTTTGTGAATATTCCTAGTTCATAGCTGAGCAAAACCATTTCATAAATTAAGAAAGCAAAGGTGAAATAGACTAAAGATAGGCTGAATATATTTTGGTTACTTACTCAATGTACCGGTATATGTACAATGTATATGTAGAGCTACTAGAGATGTGTTTGTCGAAGATATAAATTATCCATGCCATGAAGGTCTAAAAGTGGACTTCTTTGTGTTTACTATGTCAAATAATAAATAAAGAGTGAGAACAATGAAAATTCTATAATTTAACAAAGCCCATTTTCATAACAACCATCTCAGCAGGTATTGAGAAATTACAACCCCGTTGTTTCCTTGAGTAAGAAATTTTCCACGCATTGCTTCATACTCACTTCAACAAGACTTATATTACGAAGCTTATAGCTCCGTGGTTTCAGGTGCTTATTCTCGCCGATCAATGGCGTTCAACCTGTGTTACAATTCAATATATTGGCCAGTTTACTTACCGCGTTGGAAATCCTGTCAGGTATCCGCCATTTATTACTCAATTCTGCGTTACTTATTTCACGAATCGTGCGTTATTTTCACATTCGTGCGTTACTGGATATGAGCTCATCAAAACTAGTGTGTGTGAATATTAAGAGTGGACAAATACATCATGCCCATTATATAATAATACTTATAACCCTGCATTCTGAATTTGATATTTGTCAAAATTCTAGCAAAAGTTCAGACTTATGTTTTAGAAGCTATTGGTGATTTATTTTGACGGGAAATAAACTTAAATCAAAGACGAATATAGTATTGTATCTAATTATATGATATTATCATTATGTATATTGACTATTATAACAGTCTCGAGTTCCTTCCCCTTACACCCCAAACTGTAATGTTTTAGCCGTTTTAGTGATTTAGCTTTTTCGGTGATTTCACGGATGAATCGCTCGTTTGGTACATACCGATATAGTAGAATGGCGATTGTTGGCTCATAGAATAAATTATAATTAGTCATCAATGATGAATGAAAAGCAATATGTATAAAACTACTTACGAACGTTACGTTACTCTACATCTTCAGAAAAAGAAGGAAAAAAAACGTTTCGTCACAATCATTTTCGTATCCGAAAATGCGTAGCGCTGTTTCATTGCATTTGTCAATATATACAGAATTAAACTGAGAAAGAGTCTAAGATATACGTTGTAAATCTGTGTCACCGTATTTTAAAAGTGAAAGGGCTTGTCATAAATTATCAATGTCCGTGCCTTTGAAATATACTTGACAACATTATATTTTCCGAATCCGGCGTTAATGGATGATGGTCATGTGATACCTATGTATATTTCTATACTTATATCCTTTCAATCATTAAATCAGCATAATTATATATTCAACATGGATTTGTGTTCAAATGGACTGTAATGTTAGTAAATGACATTTGTCCTAAAACATATACAAATATATTGTATAAAATTGCGTATTCCAGTGACATTATATGAGCGGGTTGATATCCGTAGTCGGGATTACCTTCTCCAAAATGCTAATACAGACGGCATACATACCGGGAACCAGAATAATTATGGTATTACTGGTATTCTCGACTCAATTTCTTATATAATATACGTATATATGTATTATATAATGAAAAAGCTTTTAGAAAGACCTTAATTGCGGGAAAACAAAAGTATGTGAACGATTTAAAATCCTTAGACCCGGGAGGACATTGCGGTCTTGTTATTGGACAGATTGAACAGAATTCCAAACAGAAACATGTAATCCTGAACCTGGGGAAATTGCAGGATGTTCCGAGTTGTCTGGAAGTTTAATTCTTGCTTTTATAATTCCGCTGCAATCAAATCCGTTTAAGCAGTCCCCTCATTATGTATCTGGTTTATTCCATTTTAAGAAAAGAGTAAATCAAATTGATAAATTGGTGGATGGGTGGAATCTTACCATGTTTACACTTTGTGTTTAAAATCGGTTTTAACCAAATAATGTAGTGTTTGCAACCCTACATTTGTCGGTTGTACTGAATGAGCCATACAAGGCTAAGTTGTACACATACTTAATTTTCAATGTACGGTCGGACGCATTCGTACTAGACATACATTATATAGTTTTATTTTTGTGATCTTTTTATGAGCGTACATTTATTGCTCTTGTTAATGGCACACTGCAGTATTATTTTTGGCCAAAAGGTTAACGTGTATACCTGTATTTGTTGTGAATATAGTCAGTCAGGTATTGGATCTAAAACCAATTCGTTTGCTTTTAGTTTGTGTTAGATTTGAAGTCACACAGACAAATGTGAGGCAAAAATGATGGCTTTTCAGGTTTACAAATGATAGAGGAAGACATCAGGAGCCCCTTCGTGCATGATATCAGGCATCTGGGTATAACTACTGAAGTTCCGTATGCTAGCTCGATAACTTTTTCACATGAAAGAATCCAAGTCACTGACGGGATTTGAACCCTAAGAAATTGGAGGGGGGGGGGGGTTAAAGTGATTTGAAGTCGGCGACCTTTATCACTATAGGCTACGAAGACCCCTCGAACCGACAAGCCATATAGATAAAGATGACATTGAACATCGGCTAAACAAGTATTAGTTTAATTTGTAATATATTCTAATATTTTGTAGGCACGGTCTAGCTAAAGCATAAATCAACAAAAAGACTACTGCAGTATTCTTGTTAATTTTTTCTCCAAATACAAAAAATAATGAAACGTCGATATTTAAAAATAAAAAATATAAACAAACTTTCAGCTTTAAATTTAATATTATAGATTACATGCTTAAAGAACTAAGCAATCGCTAATTTTCGGCCCTTTTTTCTAGCCCTTTCCGCCAGTCTTCGAACACAATAGAAGAGATACGGAACGCATACGGTATTTCGGCATAACCTACGATAAGAAACTAAACATGTAATTAAATAGTAATTTAATGGTTGGAGTTGATGGCTAAATTTCTACCAATATATCGAGAAAAGTTCAACCTAAATTAAGCAAATTTGAGCCGCGTCATGACAAAACCAACATAATGCGTTTGCGACCAGCATGGATCCAGACCAGCCTGCGCATCGGCGCAGTCTGATCAGGATCAATGCTGTTCGCTTACCAACTCTATTACAAGTAGAGAAACTGATAGCGAACAGCATGGATCCTAAACAGACTGCGCGGATGCGCAGGCTGGTCTGGATCCATGCTGGTCGCAAACGCACTATGTTCGTTTTGTCGTGACGCGGCTCATTTATAGATATAAAAGTAAACAGTACACTATTTATATACTTATTATTATGGTTGTAGAAACCGAAAGTACAAAATGTCTACCTGTTGACATTAAATCGGATTTGGTTATAATTGTACATCAGTGGGCATAATTAAATAGTAATGTATTCAATTATAGTTTTATCAAAATTAACTTAATTTTCCTTTGGATGTCATATATATATATACATTCGTTATAGTATTACATTATCAATGATTACAGCTCTGTAAAACCACATGCATGGTGGAACTACTTTCAATCCGTATTAAATCAGAGGTTAAAATACAAACTACCATGTAATATGATTGTGTCCTGTTTTGTACAAACTAATAATGTAAATATTGTATATCCGCACACTTGTATTTGCATTCCGAATCGAGCATTTTCTACCAAATTCAATGTATCATCTGTAAAATTTAGATAATATAATAGAACAACATTATTGCGACTAGAATTATCAGTATATGAAAGACACCAAAGCCATTTCCCGAGGGTTCTTCGCCACACTGTCTCGTTTTCAGTGGTTGATACGTCCTGTCCCACTGTGTTAATATTGCTTCTCTAGCACCTTGCCATGCACCAGGTCCCGTTAGACGAAATTGATACGGAGTACATGGTCCGAAATAACACTCCATGGCAAGTTTTGGATCTTTCAAGAACAGCTTCTCTGATAAAAAAATATATTAGTATGTAATTAGGGTGGATCAGGGTTTTTTTTTACAAAAAAAAAAAAAAAAAAAAAAAAACAAAAAAAAAAAACATTATAACGTTTTTTGTCTCTAGAACCATGTAAATGTACACGCATTTTGAAATATCATTTTCGTTTTATTTTTGCCTGGGCTTTAACAAAGTTAAAGTTTTACAATGCAGTCTGAATGAATATCAATTCTTGATCGTATATGGATATGTAGAAGATTTATAGTCAATAATAAGGAAAACGTTGCATGTAAATTTTCACTCTAGAAGCCGTCCCCTGATGCTACTGTTACTTTACCGGTAGGCGGCAGCGCCTATACGGTACGTTTATAGGTTATCAAACTTGTAAAAACGCAAACACCAGTTTCATTATTCTGCGATGATCAAAGTGTCGGAAGTCATTTTAATGCAAACAAAGTTACCCAATCTCCTACGCAGTGATTTCCCCTTATCAGTACAAATCTCTGCCATCACAAACATTTTGATATTTTATATTTCTTTTGATTTTGAATTTATTTTTCATTATTTTGTTTACTTATGATAATTTTTTTGATGAACTATAAGAAACGTAGGTACGTAAAGTTAAAAATAAAACAGATAGAGAAAAATGACTTTAGATTTTCTATGTAACGGTCGATATTTACATTTGAATATCGACGTTACGTCATGTGACTTTCATTATCATGCGATTACAATTCTGCCAAGGGATGTTATCACTGCGAGGAGTTTGAAATTTACCTGCTAAGTAACAGTTATTGCGCGTGCAAGCTCAAATAGAATATTTAGAGAACGCTTAAGTTGAAACTATGGGAAATTATAACTTACTTAAGTTTGGTTTACAACCTATAAGTTCTGCAAGCTCATCCATAAAGGGGACATAATCGACTTGTATCGTATGTCGCCGCGATTTCTTATATCTAAAGGCCATAGCTTGCTGCTTAGCTCTGATATCCTGCCACATTTCGTCTTTGCCTGGCAACACTACTTGTCCCTAAAAGAAATTAACATCAAACTTATGGACTTTAAAGAAGATCTAACGAAATAACGACATTCAACAGCAATGTTGGCTATATTCCTTAATAATATTTCATAATCAAGTTTTAGAAAACAATGAATTTAAACGTAATATCAAATGCAACAGCTGGTATCCCTACACTGTAGGTACAAGGTGTATCTTATATAGTAAATTAAGACAATCGACAGTCGATAATTACATGCTTTATACTGCATACGCTTGAAAGAATAAAAATAGGAGCTAATAAAAATACTAACTAAAGAAAATCTTGTACCTTGTAAAACTGATGAAGGTTCAATCATAATTCATGCAATATATGTGAACATAAAACAAACGAACAAGTATATAAAAACATATAACTTCTAATTAGCTATAAATCCTTACAAGAGTTTTGTTTAAAATCAATTTCTCAAAACAAATTAATAGTTACCTTAATAACACGTGTTACGAGTCGGCACTGCAATTCACAAATTGGCATTATCGCTCCAATTGGCTGAAAACATCCTATAATTGCAAGCGTTTGCTTCTCTAAATCTGGTGGAAACATGTACTTATATAAATTTACTTTATTATCTTCTACTTTCAACACACTTTCGTCAATAAATGGAAAACCAAATATGTATCCTGTCGCCAATACCACTGCATCGATGTTGTCGACTTTTGTGCCATCTACAAATACTGCGCCATTCTCGGTGAATTCTTTTACGTCATCTTTAATCACTACGCTGCCTGAAATAATTCTATTCGGGAGTTCATCATTCAGGGTTGGGTGAGCGGAAAGAGGGGCATGTTTTGGTTGTAGTCCATATTTCATATGATCAAATCGGCGGTTTAATTGAGTCTTTATGTAAGCTGTAATTAACGATGGCATCCTTCTTAATACATCCGTACTGAAACGTTTTATGATCATCATATCGCCTGGAATCCCTCTGTCTCCAACTCTTTTAAATAGCCATGTACCTGATCGTGTACTTAGGTAAACCTAGAAATATCAAACGCAGATATAAGATTTAAGCTATGAAAATGTAAATGTTAACACGCTGCATTTGGGTTTTACCTTATAACTCTGTAAAAGCTTTATTATAAATCATTTTTGAAACATGAGCAAAGGTGTTGTAAAACATGTAAAAATCTAAAAGTAAGCGTTATTTTGAATGTTTTAAATGATACAATACACATAACAAGCCCGTTGTTTTGTATCTTTCAAATCAATGCAATTTAAATAAAAAAAATCACTTGCCTATCCGCGTACATCTCTAAAATACTAAATGTACATTATTTACAGACTACTATAAATTATGCATATACATGTTATAATAATTATATAGATCTGCATATTTTTTAATGAAAGGCGCCATGGACATTGCCAATGCGTTCGCCGTTTACAAAATAATTATGATTGATATCCGCAAAGTGACATGCAAAAATGATAAATATAAATAATTGTTAATTTCTTGTGACGTTTTGTGGATTTTAAGCCACGCCGACACTGTAAAGGTCAAATGGCGACTGTCCAGCTACCGGTTAAGGAAGACTTCAGGAGTTGCCCCATCTTGCTTTATTTCAGGCACTCATGGACACCTGTGCAGAACTACCAATCTTCCGTAAGCTTGTTAGATAGTTTAATCACACGAAATAGTTCAAAGTGCAACTTTGAAGAAAACTTCGAACAAAAAACGGTGAGAGGAAAATGATTTGAAAAATGATATCCTTAATTTTAGAATACAGAAAGAGTGTAACATAACTAGATACATCATTTTATCTTTATTTAATGGTTTTTTTTTTATTATACACATCATAATTCCATAAAAATAAAGATTTTGTTATGCATTGAATGCAACAGATTTGTATTTAGTGAGAATTTCAAAACGTGTCAAGTTTATTAACCCCAGGTACCTTTTCACTTACCTGAGAAGTTAAACGACTTAGCTCTGTAGCAACATCCCCACCCGAGTTTCCAATGCCAATGATCAAAACTCTCTTGTCCTCGTAACCATGGAAATCTTTGTAATCATGCGTGTGCGTTACGGTGCCTTTGAATTTATCTAACCCAGGGAAATTAGGTATGTTTTTCTCAGCGTGGTGCCCAGTACATACAAGCACTCCATCGAACACGTGTGTTTTTGTGTCTCCTGTTGACTTTTCTCTTGTAACAATATGCCATGTACCATCAGTTTTAAAACTGTTTGTCGGTTTCACTGATGTCACCTAAAATGTTATTCTTTATTATTACACATTTCATATCATTTGGTCAATCATACCTATATAAACTAATTTCTTCATGCTTTAGTTACATAAAGTTTCATTTTATTTTATGCATCTAGTCTTATTGCAGATGTATTTTCGATTCATACATTTTTATTAACAAATACTTGATAACGGTATGGTATATCTTTAATAAATTTATACCTCTGTGTTGAAGTGTATATGTTTCTTGAGTCCAAACTCATCTGCGTACATATGAAAATACTTGTCTACATATTTATTATGCATATATATAGAGAACTCTCCCGGTATAGGAAAATCACTGTAACACATCATCTCCTTTGATGTATTAATCACCGTAGATTTCATTACACATGCCTGACCTTCCTCTGCCTTTTCTGTGTAATGCCATAATCCACCGATATAGTTACCCCTCTCAAAACATACAGGTTCAAGTCCCTCGTCAAGACAGCATTTGATAGCTGTTAACCCACTAGCACCTGCCCCGATCACTGCTACACGTTTCATATTCATATTTTCTGACATTTTGCCTTCAATGAAATGTTTATCTATGGTGTTATATCATTATCTTAGATAATGATATAACACCATATTCTTACTGTACACTAGAGAGGGATCCATTGACATTCTGCATACTAAATAATGAACTCCTTATTATATAATCTACATCGTATTTATCAGTGTTTATAGTGCCAGCTACATATTAGATATTGCAATGTTCTAAATAAGCACAATTTCACAATCTGATTAAAAGAGAACGAATTAAAATTTAAAATCAATCGGACTAAAACGAATTCCAAATTCTGTAGTTTTTTGTTGTTGTTATTGTTAAATTCAACGAGGCAAAATGAACATACGCACCGTTTGATCGTTCTCAACGAGTAACACAAAAGAATGCCGAATAGTGCGCTGATGTAAACGGTTACCGATGTAAACACTTAATCGTGTATTTAGTCCCTAAATGAGATATGCGACTCCGACAGTGCTAGCAAGTTCTGCACCAATCCTGTCCAATGAAAAGTTAGTTTTCATTCGGTTTCAGAGCATATAATTATATGATATGTGGTATCATTCCACTGGCACCAGAGTCCTTAAATTATCATAAAATAAATTAAATTATACCCATATTTAACACAAACTGTCCGAAATATTATCAAAAAAATCAAAAAAAATCCAGACACACCCCCGTGTATACTATCATATATAATTTTCAAATATATAAATAAATTTGACACAGACATACACCCGTATATACTATCATACATTGTATATAATTTTCAATTATATAAATAAAGTTTAATTCATTAATAAATAAATTTTGAACATTAAATATGATAGTGTATATATATAGGTTTGTGAAAATTATTTACATCTACAAAATACCTTTCAAACACACTGGATCCCAAGAAGGATACAAGAACGTGGAAAAAATAACAATAAATTTGGAGAAAATAAACGTTCATTCAGTGCTAAAGTATAAATACCCAAGTACTTTCGGCGTATTATGCCTTCATCAGGGTGTATTACATGTATAATGTGCACACAATAGAGCACAAAATCTCTATACGTGTGTACTGTATAGTATCAAAAATTGAACTGAAACACAGTCGCTAGAAAGGTGATAAAATTGCATCGATTATGAATAGACCGTTATTGAATGGTCATTGTGTTATACTTTACAAAAGAAAATGTAGCCTGCGGTCAATATGGCATAAACTCGATTAAATACATATATATTTTAACATAAAAAAATAAAACTACACGTATAAGGGCGTTTTGTGTTTTTATTACTAAAAGTATAATGTAAGAAAATGCAAGTTACAAACAGTGTGATATTATATGAAGTGGAAATTTACGATAAGATGAAAGTAATAGAGATGCTCTCAGGCCAGGGAAAAAGAGCCCTCCCCGGCACCGCCTGATAACTAAAGTTAGGTTTAAAACAGTTTGTCCAGAATGGGCGAGAAAAAGTGTTAAAATTAGTCTCCTTTATTGATGTCTGATGGCTCTAGCGTATTCAGTCGGCGAATCCTGTATGTCTCGCGTGATTTCCGTGTTACATCTGACCACTTTGTGTTATGTTCAATACAACAGAGGGACACGTCTTTAAAACTGTGTCCCTCATGGTGAAAATGTTCAGCAACTGGGGATCTGTTAAATTTTCGTTTTTCCAGTCAGAGCGGTGTAAGTTCATTCGTTTATTTAATGGAAGTTTAGTTTCACCGACATATTGTTTGTTTCAAACTTTGCAAGAAATAAGATAAATAAAGTTTGCGTTCATTGAACGCCGCCTTTCCTTGTTGATCTTGTTTATCATATTTTACAATTCATTATGTCTTTGAGAGATGTTTTGGCCCCTATTTTTGAGGAGAATGTTTTTGTAAGGGACATGACAGCACAGGTTTGGCATTTTGGTGTGCCACACGGTCCAGACTGACCTTCTTTATCTGTCATTATTGGTCTCAGTTGGGCTCGAACAAGTATGTCTCTGAGGCTTTTAGGTCTCCTATATGCAATGGTTGGTTTAGTTGGGATCTCAAATGCAGACAGCAAGCACAGGAAGGAACTACTAGAGTACAAACATCACTCTAGTGGTTCTACACAAAATAAAATTCCATTTGTGCTCACATATCACCCGGACTTACCAAACACTAGAGCCATCAATTACAAACATTGGCCAATTATTGAGTCTTCACAGAAACTTAACAAGATGCCCCAACTAAACCAACAGACAGGATAGTTTCCGGCCAATAACTTACGTTAAGAATGATTTATCTTAATCAAACTTTGTATGTAGCAAACCTATGTATAATCCTCGCTTCGGATTGCTTTTGGGTATCTTATGGTTAATGTCATGGTTATTGGTACTTAACATAGAAAATCATGTTTCGATCAACACCAAGAATTAGTAATGAAATATTTTTTATGTGTTGCAATATTGGTGACGACCTCGATTGGGTTAGCGTTTGGGCCATTTAAAGTCAATGTCACGGTGGATGTCACTTGATATTGAAAATTCTGTTCCCGGTCAATAACTAGGGTTTTGAATGAGGTAATTCAATGAAACTTAGTGTGCAGCAAGCTTATGTAGAGACCTCACTAGGTCCCTAGGATTAATGCCATGGTTGCTGTTGCTAAAACTAAAAAAAAAACAAGAACAAAAAACAACAAAAAACGGTTTCCAAATATGCCAAAAACGGCGATAATCAGTAGCATTGTTATGTCATTCCAGGGGAATAAAACGGCATATGACCCCAAGTAAGAGAATGTGTGTGCACTGAACGAGAACTAAATAAAAGTAGTTTTTAAAGTTTATAAACTCTTTCACTGGGAGTTTAGGAAATTGTGTTAAATTTTGGGAAAAACGTAATTCCAAAATACTTGAAAGAAATATATTGGTATATCCCTTTTTTACCGAATGGGACATGCACAAACATTTTGCTGAACGGTTTAATGACCTAGTTAAACTAGAACTCTGCGAGTCGGATGTGTCGCCTTGTGAACAATATAGTTTAAGAGAAATGGCCAGGACAAAAATGAAATTTGAAAATCAACAAAGGGCAATAACTCAAAAAATAAGAAATGCAGATCAGCAGTTTCTGTGCACTGCACTTCTTATCAATAAGATCTATCATACTATTAAGTTTCAAGTCTAAAGCTTTTATAATTTATGAGAAATGGCCTGGACAAAAATAAAGTATGAAAATTAACAAAGGGCAATAACTCAAAAAATAAGAAATGCAGAGTACCAGTTCTTGGGCACTGCACTTCTTCTTAATAAGATCTATCATCCTATTAAGTTTCAAGTCTAAAGCTTTTATAATTCATGAGAAATGGCCTGGACAAAATAAAGTATGAAAATTAACAAAGGGCAATAACTAAAAAAATAAGAAATGCAGAGTACCAGTTCTTGGGCACTGCACTTTTTCTTAATGAGATCTATCATACTATGAAGTTTCAGGTCCATAGCTTTTATACTTTAGGAGAAATGGCCTGGACAAAAATAAAGTATGAAAATTAACAAAGGGCAATAACTCAAAAAATAAGAAATGCAGAGTACCAGTTCTTAGGCACTGCACTTCTTCTCAATGAGATCTATCATCCTATGAAGTTTCAGATCCATAGCTTTTATACTTTAGGAGAAATGGCCTGGACAAAAATAAAGTATGAAAATTAACAAGGGGCAATAACTCAAAAAATAAGAAATGCAGAGTACCAGTTCTTAGGCACTGCACTTCTTCTTAATGAGATCCATCATTCTATGAAGTTTCAAGTCCATAGCTTTTATACTTAAGGAGAAATGGCCTGGACAAAAATAAAGTAGGAAAATAAACAAAGGGCAATAACTCAAAAAATAAGAAGTGCAGAGTACCGGTTCTTGTGCACTGCACTTCGGGTCATTAAAAGAAGCATGCATACCAAGTTTGAAGTCAATCCGACTTATAATGACTGACTTATGCTCCGGACAAGCTTTAGGGGACGCCGACACCGACGCCGACAACGACGCCGCCGACGAAAGTAACCCCTATATGTCGCCTTTTTCAAGGCGACACAAAAATGCAGTAATATTTTGTCGCCGACTGCAAGCTCTGTAGTATTTTATGATCTTTGCAATCTAAATCGTACTGTTTATATGTATGTATTTTTCTGCATAAGGTTATTGTGATATACTATAATTCACCTTGTAGGGCGCCGAGTTGCAGCGAATGGGTTGATTTGTTTTTGCTATAACAGTTTGAGTTTGATAAATACAGGATTTTGCATGGCCAGAGTTTCTAACTTGCATTATGAAAACATTTATGTACATTTTTTTGAGAGCCACACTTGCATATCGTGGCAAATTCCTTAAGAAAGAATGTAAAAATCGCTAAAAAGACACCTTAAATAAATAAGTTGCCTTGACTTATGAACACAGACCTCTCATTTCTTAAACGAGCGTGTTACCCCTGAACCACGGGGAAGTTACAAAAAAGAAGTCTGAAGCAAATCAAATGATTCTAAATTTAGCATTTCCATTATTAATTTCGAGATATTTTGTTCACGGTAAACATGTTGTTTAACACTGATGTAAATAATATAGTGAAAATTTTCTCGCCCAAACAGTCGGGCATAAACATAAATTTCACTACACGACAGTCAGATTTATTTGTGTGATACGCGCTGAAGTAGTCGTTAATCAGCATCGCTAAAAATAGCGCTTTGTTTCCGTGGATTAAATTATCGGGTGCTTTAACTTATAAGTAGAATCGATCGTCGACTGTCCTAAATTCGTCCCTGTCCAAGAGTCAACATCTTTACTTTACATTTCAAAAATTCTAAATAACAAGTGTTCATTTAGGCGCGTTTAATTCCGATCGCAATAATCCGAAGCTTAACGGAAATAGCTTTAACTTCTTTTTTGTAAAAAATATTCATCCGCGTAATTTGTGATTGTGCATTTATTGACAATTTCATCAGCCAAAGCTACTTTTAAACATTGAATGCGTTATAATTCGTTGGATACTTGTAACAAAATAAAACTATTTATGTCTTTTACATCGTTTGTTTTAAGCTGTTTTGAGAACTACTTTTCCTTGTTAGGATTGTCGGGAAGATATTGAATGTCAGCACTGTGTTGCCTGATCTGTGATCAGAAAATATAAAAATCAATATATTTTTGTCTAGGAATATTTTATACGGTTAATGCAGAGTTTGTTTTCATGTGAGGCACATTACAGAAGTATTCACTGTTATCACACTTAAAGAATCGACCACAAGGTTACAAAATCAACTTTATGTCACCGTTTATGAATTATATAATAAGAAAACACTTTATATAACTTTTAGTAAAATGTGAAGACTGTCTGGGTATCAAAGACAGCTATCAGAAGACAAAATAAATATAGGACAACATATCATCAATAAAATTTTCCAATATTTAATGGCAAAAATAACAACAAATAAACAAGAATTTAGACCGCTGAAATGAATAGTGGAGGACCTGAGCAAATATCTCCTTATCTATGCAACATTATCTTCTTACACGTTGATATTAAATACTCGTAAATGTTTACAGAATAAAATATAACAGAACAGCTATTACAGCGACGATCATCATATAAAATGCCCCTGAACTTTTGCGTTCAGTTTTAGCACAAGGTCTTGTCTGAAGTGGTTCGTACGTCCGCTCCCATTGTGTCATGATGGCATTCCGTGCACCTTTCCAAGGCCCCGGTCCCATTAATCGATATTGATAAGGGGTGCAAGGACCAAAGAAAACTTCCATCGAAAGTTTTGGATCAGTTAAAACAAGTTTTCCTGGGAATTAAATTAAAAAAACTTTAAACAAGCAAAATTAGTTAAGTAATCATTTTTAGTAATAGAAATTGATTTGCGTTAAACTAGTATTGTTCTTTGTAAAAACGTCAGCTATTAGCCAGACTATTATAATAAACAATCATTGCATGTAAAGCTTTTATGGATAATAAATTTGATTTTTTATAGTAAACATGTGTTTGTGCTATATCTTGATTATATCATAACTTTCAACCAAAATGACATTGTGTCAAAAACAAATTTAAAATGGATTTTGATTTATTATACGATTTACATTAGAACATTATAAGGAAGTATGCTTTTTAGTAGTAATCAGTTGTTCGCCGCATAACGACATGCGGTTTCATTCATTGCGTCTTTAAATGACGTAGCATTGTTCATGTTAAAAATAATTCTGTAAAATTGCGCAAAGTTTGTTACATTTTTAGCATGTGCAATGTTTTGATGTTCTTCTCGAAATGAAGCACATTTTTCTAACTTAAAAGTATATTTCTGACGATATTGCTACGTACTTAGGATAGATTCTTTTCACCCGCATTCAAATAGCGGTATAGCCCGGATACTGTAAAATTATAATTTTACTGTGAAATTATCAAAATATATTATTTCCCTGTCAGACTGTCTACTGAACGTATGTATTAAAACACTTAAATCAGTCATCTATCCTGCCAGAAGCTCCCAAGTAATTTAAAAACATGCAAATCTAATGAGTACAGGAAAGTCAAAAGATACATCTGAGCCAGAAAAAAGTATAAGGTTTGCAGTTATTGGCTGCAGATGGTTGCTGAGAAATAGCCACACATGGGAGGAACGCCAAACAATTTAGAAATATTTCGATTAGTTCAGGGCGCATGATAGAGCTTTATCTTGTTTTCGCACGCTTTAAAATATTCCACGAAATTCAAAGAGAAGAAAGCGTATATTAATTCATAACATGCCTACTATTTTAGGAACAAGGGATTAGAAAGACATAAGTAAGCAAGGAAGTCAAATAAAGTGCTTCATGTGCGAGACATTATATACAGAGTATCCAAATCGTCAAGAAAAGGGAAACATGTAATAATTGTGAGACACTTTATAAAGTTAAATACGTCTGTAGGCAATGGAGTACAAGAACACACTGTTACACAAAACGACATCTACAGTGTTAATGATCAATTCACAGGTTAAAGAAGTTTCATTCTTCTTATATCACTTACTTATGTCCATTGCCCAGTCAATTTCAAAGTGAAAACTGGACAACAAGCAAGTATAATATTATTAGCTGAATATGCACATTTGCAGTTTAAAATGTTCTCTTTACCCTCAGCTGTTATCTTACACTTGTGACAAATTCCCGGTGATAAAGAAGTTTTTTTAACTTTTGACATGGAGTCAGACAGGCACGCATGATAATTACATGTTTAGTCAACAGTAAATTCATGACTATGCTAAGTCTGCAGACATCAAACAACCTTGAGCTTATCAATTTAAATTTCTGCTGTTAAGCAGACAAGGAAATTTTCAAATCAGACTGTAGTAACTGCATATAATGACTCATTTAAAGGCATTGCTTCTTTTCAAGGACGCGATGAACATGCAATGCATGAAGTATGTCCAACGATACGATAGAACAGAGAAAATAAGAATCACTGAAGAAAGCACAAAACGGCAAAATTGAAATGTTACAGGCTCGGTTTGATTTAGCCTGTTCATGGACGGAACTGTCAAGTGCAAACTACTGTACACGCCCCCTAGCACCGGCTTAAGCAGAATGCAATATTTAAACATGAAATGGTAAATTTTTGAATTTAGAAACATCCACAGATGTGTTCGTACGGCGGTTATCAGCTCCTGTAGCACAGTTCCTGTACCACTACAAACTACAAACTAATAAAAGTTTAAAGGCCCATTGTGCATGAGAATCATTTTTTTTATATCTTGTTACAGTTATCAAATTTTCTCTTTTGTCATTTACATACACTGTCTTGTGCCGATTTTGTTATGTTGGCAGTTGGTATAATTATATTGAATTAGTATTTTGTATGGTAGTCAAAATACTACTTTTTGTTTACATTTTGCTACCTTTACAACACATTACTGCATGTTCAGCGATATGTATTAAGTTTTTCATTTAGCATGGTCTTAATCCATTATCAAAATATTATTAAGCACATGTTTAACATTTCTGACGAATTAAAAAATATGGATTTCTGAGGTATGATGTGCCTTTAATTTCTCGAATCAATTTTAAAAATTACGAGTATGCTTGAACTAAAAGCACTTAATAATACTATTTAAAGGACGAATACCAAATGCGTAATATGAAATACGTAGCTACCAAATTATCGGACGCACAATATTTTGGCGTGCAAAAAGACAGGACAAACGAATCATCTTATCTGATTATATTTAACTCATTTGAACGATATCTTTACATGATTTCTATATGGGAATTTGCAATTCAGAAGCGTTTATTCAAGAATAAATGATGATTTATTTCGAACATAAAGTCGGTTCCACTTTAATAGTTGATATAGTTTCAGTATACGGACTGATATATATTGAGCACGATCAAAATATCAGTTCTACTAGACGTATGGTTTAGAGCAAAGATATGATATTTAATCTAGACAAATGTATCATAGTTTGAGACGAGGTGACACTCTTTGGTCATGACAGAATAAAACCTGGCCGCGACAGAGTTTCAGCAATTATAGGCATGTAACCTCACCAAAAGAGAGTTGAGTTAGATTTTTGATGAGGCAGGATAAAATATCTAATAACATATAGCTCTTAACTGCCCTGTGCGGAAACAGTCCTATTTTGAATTATTTCATATCGGCCACGCCCCGGAGCAGAATTAACAATTAACAAGTGAAATGGTAAAATTCTGAATTTAGAAACACCCTCAGATGTGTTCATTCGGCGGTTATCAAGATAGGTCAGAGGTTATGAAGCCTACATATAACAAATAATAGGCAAATTCAAAAAGCAGGCGACATATCCTTAGGGTGATTTAACTGTATTTAAGTAAACATACTGGAAACGACAACTAGAAATCAAGCCAAATAGAAACCAACATAACGTACCATAAACACAACAATATAATTTAAGGATTTAAATTATAACATCTCTGATATCATAAAAATGTACAGGGCGATTTTTTATGGCCACCACACGGCACAAACAACGCTGATATGTAAATTCTGTTCGACAGACAATTGTGAAATCCTACTAGAAACCGATTGTTTCTATTATTTAGAGACCCTTGTACAATACACCTAACAAAAATATTCCAACGGCCGAAACATTGTCACGACATTTTCAGCGAGACATTCCCAGATTTGACTGAAAGTGCTTATTGACATTAAATTGTTATAGTTTCCATATTAGTTAGAATTAAAAAGAAACTGTTCAGTCACTCAATCACTGTCAACATGTAATACGGACTAAGTGACAGATGATCTGACAGTTTAAATTTCGCAGTTTGCAATGCCGTTTGATCTGACAATGTTGCTGTTGTAAAGTAGAAGTCAAGTGCCAGCATTAAAGATATAAATATTATAAGGGTAACTGTATTTTGATGTGTCAGTTAAAAAGAGGTATAATAGGCAATTATGTCCATGATTTAACATGAGATATCAAATGATCAACATAGAACGGTGACATCTAATGAACGCATCCCCAAACAAAACCATTAGCGAAGCTTTAAGGCTAAAATTCAAAATTATAGCAAGAGCATTACAGCAGAGAGAAACCTGGGAAACCGACTTTATGACATGGTAATGAGGAGTTATTTACAAAAGGCAGATATAAGTATATTTCTATTAATTCTAAAAAAGCACCAATTTTAATATTTATCATGTGTTTGATATTTTTGTCTGTTAGACTAATACATTACTCTTACCTGTGTTAGGCTTACAGCCAACCATTTCAGCAAGTTCATCCATGTAAGGGACGTAATCCACTTGTATTGTGTGTCTCAAAGACTGTTTGTATCTCATACCCATAGCCGCTTGCTTGCTTTTAATGTCTTTCCACATCTTGCTACTTTCTGGCATCGTCTTTAATCCCTGAAAATATTTACTATGTGGAATATATTTTAAAGCACAAAATTAAAATTGTGTTAGTAAACGTATAATAAAACACAATATAGATACACATTTTAACTCCTTTTCTGTCTGTTCCTGCTTTTTCAAACAAAACTAAACGGTACTTGCACAATCTCAAAGCTGCATGCATCCTGATGACTAAAGAATGGTTTAAGAAAATCAAACTTGAGAAAGATGAACTAAAATTTTAAGAGATATAAACGATTCAAGATTCAAGTAAAAATTCCCATGCTATGTGTAAAGACTGAATTATTTTGCAGTATTTATCACCATATTTCTACAGTGTAACTTATGTAGAAATGACTGATTTAAAGTGCCGTTTGCAATGTGTAAATTGCTTTCTGACTTCTTATCACAATACTTTACATTTAAATACTGATTTCAAAGTGTTCATGAAAATCAGCATAACTCTTGAGGCATTTTTCTTTAAAGTAAAATATTTTAAGAATCAATTCAAATTTTCAAAATATTGTTTGGAAACAAAACACTTAAAATCTACAACTTATTTCTATAATTACATGAACTTCAAAAAGAGTTTATGATATTGCTAATAACATGTTGCTAACAGGTTTGTTTGTGGCATTTTACGAAACAATTTTATGCTAAAAATGAGTTTCTAGCAAATCGGTCGAGATCTATCAGAATGCCGATAATTTACCTTAAACACCCTTGTAGCAAGGCGACATTGCATTTCGCTCAGGGGCATAGTTGCACCGAGTGCCTGGAAGCAACCAATAATTGCCATCGTATGTTTTTGCAAGTTGGGTGGAAACATGTACTTGTATAGATTGACTTTGTTGGCTTTCACCTCTATCACACTTTTATCAATGAATTCAAATCCAAAATTATAGCCCGTTGCTAGCACTACAGCATCCAAATTATCAATCGTTGTGCCGTCTTCAAAGATCGCCCCTGTTTCTGTGAACTCTGCAACATTGGCTTTTACAATAACACCTCCAGTTATTATTCTATTTGGCAACTCATCATTCATGGTTTGTCGTGCAGAAAACAGACCATGTTTAGGTTTAAGGCAATATTTTTCATGATCGATTTTTTGGTCAAGTTTCTTCTCTGTGCGCGAAGTTATCATATTTGGAAACGTCGTCAAAAGCTTTGTGTTAAAGCAAGTTGATTGTACCATGTCCCAAGGAAGCCCTTTCTCAGCTACACGATTGACAATCCAAGAACCTGACCTGGTACTTAAATAAACCTGAAATATGAATTATGAAATCTATTTTTATTGTATTTTATTGTGTGTGTGTGTGTGTTTGCGCGTGTGTGTGTGCGTATGTGTGTGTGCGTTGGTGTGTGTGTGTGCGGGGGGGGTTTGGTGAGTGCGTGCGTGCGTAAGTGTGTGTGTGTGTGCGAGCGAGCGCGTGTGTGCGTGTGTGTTTATTAGATTGATTACACTGTGTATATTCAGTTACGAAGGAATGTGCAAATAACGCCGGAATCATGCAAAAAGTAAGGCAAAATCATTGAAAAGCTTCCGGTATGACCCAAACAACTATGGATACCTTGTTGTTTCATCGGTATACGTGATGACTATAAGTCTATAACTCATTTAAATCTTTGTTGTTTGGATATTCGGTATACTTTAGACATTTGCGAAACTACTCGGGTCAGGAAATAGTAAAAAGAAACTTTTATCATTCAGGTACTATTTCTATCAGGTACTTTTATGAGGTAACAAAGCTTTTTGTTCCGATGCACCATTTAAAAAGGGGGCGTATTTTCCATAAAAAAAAATTGGAAAAAAATTTTAATCTGAATTTCGGGGAAATTGGCGAAATTTTTGTTTTTGGGAAATTTAAAAATTTTGCGTTTTTCCAAATTTTTACCAAAAAAAATTATTATTTTAGGATAAAAAATAATTTAAATTTTTTCCGTTTTTTAACTGGGGTCTCATTTCCCCAAATTAAATTTGCCCTTTCCCTCCGAATGTTTTAAAATTTAAATTTTATTGTCCCGTCCCTTTTTTTAAAAGCTCTTAAAAATTTTTTTTAATTTTAAATTGGGTTTATTTACTTACCGTGGGGCTCCCCTTTTGGGCATAAAATTGGGCCCCAAATTTTTCGTTATTTTTAAAAGGGTACAAACAGGCAATTGATTTAAAAAAAAGGTCCCTCACTTGATGACTTTAAACCCGTTTTTAAAGCAAAAAAGGAAAATTTATCAAAAAAGATTTAAAATCTATGGCAAAACCCGTGGGCTTATTCGGCTTTTCTGTTTTCAAAAGTCGCCGCCAAAAATTTTTTAAAGCCAAAAAATTTAAAAAGTTTTTTTCTTCGTAAACCCTGATTTTAAAAATTTTTATAGTCTTGTGTATGCGTTTACCCTTTTCCCTTTTAATTTGTTTATTCCCGGGGGGAAAGGGTATGTTTTTTTCAGCATGATGTCCAGGCAGATAAGGGCGGGGTCGAAACAAAGGGGCTCCTCTTTACAGATGTCTTTATGGCGATTTCCCTTTTTCCCCTCATGTTGAAAGGGTTTTTGGGTTGGGTTTTACCCCAAAAGCACCTTTAATTGTTTTACTTAATGAGGGGGGGGGGGGGGGGGGGTCAAAATTGAAACGATAACTACCGGTATGCCGACTGAATAGAGTTGAAGAAAATTTGTCTGGGTAGAACCTGCACTTTGAGTTGATCAATTACATTATTCTAAAACGAGTTAAAGTCAAAAGCTGGACTATTTTTATTTCAATGTAACGTAAAAGAACAAGATGTATAGAGATTAAAAATAAAAAGTCAATTCGTAAATGAAAAGTGGGGTGTAAAATAAACTTTACAGATACTACGGGAAGTATTAAAAAGCATATAATTTGGAACAATAGTGAAATTAAACATAATGGGGGGTAAACTATTATGTAACACCTCTTGGACAACCAAACATATTTTGTATATTTCAGATATATACAACACGAATGAAAATAAATTTAAAACATTCGAACAAATTCGGAATCAGTTTTATGTAAAATAAAATAAAAATGATTATTTGTAATATTGTAAAATAATTGCATCAATCCCTAAAAGACTTGTCACGGCACCTTTAGAAAACGACACTTAAGATATATTTACTAGGGTTAGAAACACAGACTTAAAAAACGTAAACAAACAAGGACTCAAATGACCAAAAATAAACACCATAAAAAAGTAATGCTAAACAAAAATGGGAGATAAAACTTAAAACTTTAAATTGGAAAGCAATAAATAATTCACCTTTTAATGTTGCAATACACTGAACTTCAAAATTTTCAATATAAGTTTATCCATCGATATGTTGCAACAAATTCTTTTTTACAAATCAACTTTATGTATGTTTTTTTGTTTCCTTCTGCCATTTAGGATATCGATCACTTATTCCGGGAATGTCCATGTGTACAACCGTATTGGAACGAAGTGTTTAAATTTATCAATAGCAAAAACTTTGAGACAAATATGAACAAAAACATTACTTTTATGTGTAACCATTATAGTAAATTATTCAACTGTATACTTCTACTTGCAAAAAAACATATATAGAAGTGTAAATTCAAATCAATGATCCCAAAATTTCAACAATTTAGAACCAAATTAAAAACACGTATTGAACTTGAACAAATAATAGAGTTGAAAAACGATATCATGTAAAAATATTCAATAAAACCTGGCAAACTTTTCTCACCTTATAAACGACTCATTTACCCTGGTGCAAACAGTCCCAATCCCAATCTTCATTTTTTTTTATCCACAAACAAGGTGCCTTCAATTAGGGTACGACCACTCTTTTGAAATCATGAATCATTGTCAATTATTAATATGTATATTTAATTCTGCTATATGTATATGCAACAGAGAATATTTAAGGTCAGTATGGGATGGTCATCTGGATGGGGAGAATGAATTGGGTCACCCTTATTGTTGGAATCCGAAAAAAAATATTATTCTTATTCTTAAACCACATGCTGTATAGTTTGTCATAGTATGCAGTTAATGGAACTTGCCAGTAACGTCCATGAACAGGCTCAATCAAACCGAGCCTGCCACATTTTCAATTTTGCCGTGTTTGGGCTCTTTTTTGGTTAAGTAGTGCAAGTGAATCAATAAGTCGAATGATTAAGTAAAAACATACATGTATTTAATAATTATCCCTCGTGGTTAATGTTATTTATAACGTTTACCTCTGTATTGAAGTTTATGTACTTTCTCAGTCCGAACTTGTCCGCGTACATATGGAAATATCTATCGACTTGCTGATGATGCATGTAGATCGGAAAATCTGCAGGGATAGGAAAATCACTGTAACACATCATCTCCTTTGATGTATTAATCACCGTAGATTTCATCACACATGCCTGACCTTCCTCTACCTCTTCTGTGTAATGCCATAATCCACTTATATAGTTACCCCTCTCAAAACAAACAGGTTCAAGTCCCTCGTCAAGACAGCATTTGATAGCTGTTAACCCACAACAACCTGCCCCAATCACTGCTACACTTTTCATTATTTACACCAGTCTTATATTTCTAAATTATTTGCCCGTAAGACAATAATAATTATTTATCCCTCCGGCACACAATGTAGTCAAGTTATGTTGATTGCTATGGCGGGAATAAAGACTGATAACGTTATTTAATCTCTGTCCTACTCTGTCTCAAACTATTTCACCAATGGGAACGTGTATATAATTTAGCAGAGATGAAGGATTATTTGTGGGGAAGACAGGTAGTTGACTTTTATTTCGGTCCATACTACAAGTACTCAAATTTCTTAAAGACCTATAAGCGTTAGTCCTAACGTTAATAAAATTAAATGACCAGTTGAACCTATTTTCCTATTCGGCAAACGCGTTTGAAACAAATAAACAATTTTTCAGTATAGATCGAGCGTGTTGCCTTATACGGAGTTACAGTAAAGACCAAGCGCCTTTGATCCATCCGATTTTGTTACAGTTTATACACATAAAATGCTCCATTACATTTACACTCTGGGCAGCACACCATCGCCACCCTTTTATCATTGTTTGCATTTACTTGATTGTGTACAACAAATTGAATGAGGGATCAGTAAAAGACATAACAAGTCTTTATTTTGCTTAAGAAAGACAATGGTTTAAACATATTTATTTAAGTTCGATTGCGAAACAAGTTCTTGCAACTTATATTAATCACTTTCGAGTCCGCTTCCTGGAACCAACCAGTACTTTATTGGTGTAAGATGTTCGGGCGAGAAGACGGGCGTCAAACAGGATAGTATCCGGCCAATAACTTACGTTAAGATTGACTTATCTTAATCAAACTTTGTATGTAGCAAGCCTATGTATTATCCTCGCTTCGGACTGCTTTTTGGGCATCCTACAGTTAATGTCATGGTTATAAGTACTAAAAATAGAAAAAACATGTTTCGATCAACACCAAGAATTAGGAAGGAGATATTTCATGTGTTGACAAATTGGTGACGACCTCGATTGGGATAGCGTTTGGGCCATTTAAAGTCAATGTCAAGGTGGATGTCACTTGATATTGAAAATTTTGTTCCCGGTCAATTACTAGGGTAATTCAATGAAACTTAGTGTGCAGCAAGCTTATGTAGAGACCTCACTGGGTCCCAAGGATTAATGCCACGGTTGCTAATGCTAAAACTAAAAAAAAACCGTTTCCAGATATGCCCAAACGGCGATAATCATGAAATCTTCTAAGTAGCACTGTTATGTCATTCCAGGGGAAAAAACGGCATATGACCCCAAGTTAGAGAATATGTATGCACTGAACGAGAACTAAATAAAAGGGATTTTTAAAGTTTATAAACTCTTACACTGGCAGTTTAGGAAATTGTGTTAAATTTTGGGGAAAACATAATTCAAAAATATCTTTTTTTACCGAATGGGACATGCACGAACATTTTGCTGAACGGTTTAAGGACCTACTTAAAAAGCATTAATATTATGTTGCCTACTTAAACAAAGGACTGCAAGCTCTGTAGCATTTTCTGATCTTTGCAATCTAAATCGTACTGTATACATTGTATATGTATGTATTTTTCTGTATAAGTGTATTTTGATATACTATAATTCACCTTGCAGGGCACCGAGTTGCAGCGAATGCTTTGATTTTTTTTGCTATCACAGTTTGAGTTTGATACATACGACGGAATTTTTTTCCATAGCCAGAGTTTCTAACTTGCATTATGAAAACATTTATGTACATTTTTTATGACAGCCATACTTGCATATCATGGCTAACTCCTTAAGAAAGAATGTAAAAATCGCTAAAAAGACACTTTAAAAAAAAAATATTTGCCTTGATATGAACCCAGACCTCCCACTTTCTAAACGAGTGTGTTACCCCTGAACCACGTGGAAGTTACATAAAATCAAATCAAATGATTCTTAATTTAGCATTTCCATTATTAATTTCGATATATTTTGTTCACGGTAAACATGTTGATTAACGCTGATGTTAATAATTTAGTGAAAATTTTCTCGCCCAAACAGTCGGCCATAAACATAAATTTCACTACACGACAGTCAGATTTATATGTGTGATACGCGCTTAAGTGTTCCTTAATGAGCATCGCTATAAATAGCGCTTTTTTCCGTGGATTAAATTATCGGGTGCTCTAACTTATAAGTAGAAATTGATTTTCGATCGTCGACTGCCCTAAATTCGTCCCTGTCTAAAAGTCAACATCTTTACTTTACATTTCAAAAATTCTAAATAACAAGTGTTCATTAAGGCGCGTTTATTTCCGATCACAATAATCCGAAGCTTAACGGAAATAGCCGAGCAATTTTCATTGATTAAAAATATTCATCCCCGTAATTTGTGATTGTGCATTTATTGACAAAGCCAAAGCTACTTTTAAACTTTGAGTGCGTTATAATTCGTTGGATACTTGTAACAAAATAAAAATATTTATGTCTTTTACATCGCTAGTTTTAAGCTGTTTTGAGAACTACTTTTACTTGTTAGGATTGTCGGGAAGATCAGAAAATACAAAAATTAATATATTTTTGTCTAGGAATACTTGATATGGTTAATGCAGAATTTTCATGTGAGGTAAATTACAGAAGCATTCACTGTTACCACACTTTAGGAATCGACCACAAGGTTACAAAAACAACTTTATGTCACCGTTAATGAATTATATAATAAAAAACAATTCATTAGATATAGCTTTATAAACTTTTAGTAAGATGTGAAGACTGCCTGGGTATCAAAGACAGCTATCAGAAGACAAAATAAAAATAGGGCAACATGAATTTTCCAATATTTAATGGCAAAAGTAACAACAAATAAACAAGAATTTAGACCGCTGAACTGAATAGTGGAGGGCCTGAGCAAATATCTCTTTATCTATGTAACATTATCGTCTTTCACATTGATAGTAAATACTCGTAACTGTTTACAGAATAAAATATAACAGAACAGCTATTACAGCGACGATCACCTGAATTTTTGCGTTCAGTTTTAGCAAAAGGTCTTGTCTGAAGTGGTTTGTATACACGCTCCCATTGTGTCATGATGGCATTCCGTGCACCTTTCCAAGACCCCGGTCCCATTAATCGATATTGACAAGGCGTGCAGGGTCCAAAGAAAACTTCCATCGCAAGTTTTGGATCAGTCAGAATAAGTTTTCCTGGGAATAAAAAAGCACATTAGACAAGCAAAAAATAATATATATATAAAATAAATTTTGATATCCGTTAAACTAGCTAGCTTTTTTAAAAGGTATAAGCTATTACATGTAGCTTTACAATACTAAGTATATTTTCATCATGAAATATATGGAAACCACCTTCAATGGATTGGTAGTCATCTATCCTGCCAGAAGTGTTCGAGTAATGATATACAAAAGTAATGTGTACGGGAGCATTAGAAGGAAAATCTTAGCCAGAACAAATATTTGACTTATTGGCTGGGAAATGAAAATTTCGCTAAAAATTTCAGTATATATTTCGCACAGTTCAGGGCGCATAAAATACCTTAGCTAAATCCTATTCCAAAAGTAGAGAAACCCTTTTAAAATGTTTAATCTTTGCTTTTTTTATTCGTTTTGTAAACTTTAATTTAATAACATATTCTTTTGTTTCATCTCGTCGGGCGATCCACCCAACAATATTTCCTGGAAAACTAACAAGTTGTCACAAATATCTTCGGATGAAAAAGTTATACAATTCAATCCAGACAAAAGTATCACAAGTATCAACAAGGTAACGTACTTCGGTCATATACTGAGCTGAGACGGTATGAAACCTGACCCCGACACAGTTTCAACAATTTTAGCCATAAAACATTTCCATTTGCATTTTCAATACATATCTGGCAGAGTATAGTTCTAAACTGTCAGAAACAGTTCATCCTATACGAAACTGTCCGACTATATGATATGAAACATTGGAACATTAACGAAAAACAATATGTACATTGTTATCAATTATTTTCAGTCATTTTTTTACCAAGTAATTACTTAAAGGTTAATATTTATATAGTGTTTGATATTTTTGTCTGTTATATTCATACACATTACACTTACTGACGTTAGGCTTACAGCCAACCATTTCAGCCAGTTCATCCATGTACGGGACGTAATCCACTTGTATTGTATGTCTCAACGACTGTTTGTATCTCATGCCCATAGCCGCTTGCTTGCTTTTAATGTCTTCCCACATCTCGGTACTTTCTGGCAACGTCTTTAATCCCTGGAAATATCTTTTATCTTATTAGATATCATATGAAAATAAATGTAAGACACATAATTAAAAATGTGTACTAAACATATGGTAAAACATAGTGACCTTTCAAATTGTAAAACTTAATTCAAACATAACGAACTTGCATATTCATAAAAGGAAGCATAAGAATTAACTCAAAGCTTCAAACAATGTTTGGAAATAAAATATTTAAAATTTGCAATTATATTATTTTATAACTGCTTTAAAACAAGAAGATGCAAATAACACTTATATAACCGGTTTGTAGTAGCAATGCCGGTATAAGACTGAGACAAAATATCCAGAAAATCTGTCTAAGTCTATCAAAATACCAATAATTACCTTAAACACCCTTGTAGCAAGGCGACATTGCATTTCGCTCATTGGCAAAATTGCACCAAGTGGCTGGAAGCAACCGATGATTGCCATCATATGTTTTTGCAAGTGGAAACATGTACTTGTATAGATTGACTTTGTTGGCTTTCACCTCTATCACACTTTTGTCAATGAATGGAAATCCAAAAATGTAGCCCGTTGCTAAAACTACAGCATCTAAATTATCAATTTTTGTACCGTCTTCAAAGATCGCCCCTGTTTCTGTGAACTCTGCAACATTGGCTTTTACAATAACACCTCCAGAAATGATTCTATTTGGCAACTCATCATTCAAGGTTTGGTGTGCAGAGAACAGACCATGTTTGGATTTTAAACAATTTTTCATGATCAAATTTATTTTTGAGTTTCTTTTCTGTGAGCGATATCAACATATTTGGAAAAGACTTTAAAAGCTTTGTGTTCAAGCGAGTTGAATGCATCATGTCACCAGGAAGTCCTTTATCATCTACACGATGGAAAATCCATGTACTCAGATAAACCTAAAATATGATTTAATAAAATCCATTGTGAATGAGTTTCTTTTA